AGGCATCCAGCAGTGGTATCGACCTACTGCTAGTCAACAGAAAACGTTGTGATTTCATCAAGAACGTTCATAACAAACAAACAAAAAAAACCCAATTGAAAGCGGACGGTTGTCTCATTGGCAATCGTAACGCGTCTCCTTACGTTTACATTGTCTGTTTGAAGAGAATTAATACCGCTTAAAACATATCTTAGCAATACTTGTATTTCAAGGCAGTATTAAAGTTTTCTTCTGTAGAGGAAACCAGACGACAAAATGACAATATAGTACCTACGTATATACCTATCTTATCCTTCAACCTTCAACTTTATCTTAACCTCTTATCTTATCTTCGTTCGACAACATAGTCATACCAATGTTATTGTAAAAGGGAAAATAATTGTAGGACCAGCTTGGAAAAAGGATACACATTTTGAAATAATCCAAATGATAATCCATTTCATGTAAAAAAAACATTTATGTACAAAATAGATTTTCCTTGCTGATGTTCCTACTTTAATAATTTTACAGTAAACGCTCTGTGTTTTAGTATATTTGAATTACAAACATTACAAACAGACAACAATAATATCTCTAACATATTAGATTTAATTGATCAATGTTATACCCCCATCACACTAGGACCACGATCCCGCTACGACCTCAGAAATTATGAAAAATTTTGGAAGTCGTAGTAAGATCGAGGTGCCAAGGTCTTCATGATCGAAGAGGTCCACGATCAACTTTGAAAATGCTCAAAACATTCGTAGTGCAGTCGTGGCCAAAACTAGTCGTGGTAGAAATGTATGAAGTTCGTCGTAAGTACGTAGTAAGATCGGGATGGGCGTAAAAGCATCGCATTGAATACGTGGTGCAATCGAGAAGCTAATGAAAAAGATTTTGCTGCGACTATTCCGATTTCACCACGTCTTTATTACGCTTCCACTACGATATTGATACGATTATACTACGACGAGGAAGACAATAGTTCGCTGTCCTTAGTACGACCTTACTACGATACTACTACGTCCTAGCCACGATAATTGCACGACATCATTCTGTTGATACCTCTACTTTTAGCACCACGACCTGTTTTTTGTTTTGTTTTTGATATCTTTTACGGCATTTTTACTCATGGAAACTGGTGTGGACAAATGCAATGGGAAAGTAAAGTTGTGTATAGGGACGAAGAGCGCAGTGACAACGTAGTGGAGTCGTGGTTCGATCGTAGTAGACTCGTATTGAGATCGTAATGCGATCGGGAAGGTCTTGGTAGAAGCGTACAGAGATCGTGTTATGTATAGGGACGAAAAGCGCAGTGACAACGTAGTGGAGTTGTGGTTCGATCGTAGTAGACTCGTATTGAGGTCGTAATGCGATCGGGAAGCTCTTGGTAGAAGCGTACAGAGATCGTGTAAGTCGTGGTAAAGTCTTATTGGACATTGCAATTATTTAAGAGCTAGTAACTAGAACGTGTAACTATCGTAGCGGAATCGTAGCAGGATCTTATCAGGATCATAGCAAGGTCGTTGTATGAACTTGAAAACTATGAAATATTGAACATTCAATCCGACCATACCACGATCTCACTGCGATCTTTTTTTTTATAGATCGTAGTGGGATCTTCATGGTCTTGTTCTAGTGTGACGGGGGCTTAAGTAAAATATGTCAAATTGTTCAAATGAAATACTGTAACTTGCATTACTTCCACACAAACCCCAAAATAAGTTTAATGTGAACATTTCCCTTTTGTAATTAGAAATATCACGTTTTGTGTCTTTTACATTATGCTGCCAGCAGACGCAGTATCTTCATTCACATTTCATCTTGGTTTTCCTTAAACAACATTTTAGAAAATATTCACTTACATTATTCATATTTTAAACTACGTGCAACGTGGGTGGCTGTGTGAATGGTGTCAGCAATTGGAAATATCCTGTTTTAACTTTTAAGTTATCAAAATCGGTCTGCAGCCAGTAAATTGTGTCGATATGGTCCTCGTCAATCAGTCAATATCATCTGACTTTGACCTCATAAATTTTAAAGGAGTCCGGTTAAGTTTTTTAGGTAATGCCTGTTTGTCAGTAACTTTGCATGAAAGGTTTACAATATTTAATTGGTAGATTCGTAGTTAGGAGAATACTCAAGACTATATGTTCGTCCGACATATGGCCTTTACCTCATTTCTTGCCCTGGTTATGTAAATATTTTAGGATAAGTCTGTTTCTTTGTACAAATCATGTAAAATACGGCACACGGATTCGATCAAATTTTCAATATGGTGAATAAGATCTTTAAACAAGAGTGCACACGCTGAAATGTCTCGCCTGCTTTACTTATCTTTATTAAATTTCATACCATGCATCGAATATATTGAACATTAAACAATGAACAATAAAAATAAGGTCAAGGTCAGATGAACCCTGCCAGACAACATGAACACCAATCAATCATTCAACACACCAAATATGGTTGACCTATTGCTTATAGTATCTGATACATATAATAGACCAAACCATAAACACTTAACATTGACCAATGAACCATGAAAATGAGGTCAAGTTCAGATGAAGCCTGTCAGATGGACATGTAAGCGTTACAATCATTCCATACACCAAATATAGTTTACATAATGCTTAAAGTATATGAGATATTGACAACAAAAACTTAACCTTGCTCACTGATCCATGAAATGAGATCGAGGTCAGGTGAACTCTGTCTGACAGACATGTAGACCATATACCAAATACAGTTATCCTATTACTCATAATAAGTGAGTATTTCACATGACAAAAAAAACTCTTAAGTGTTTTCCAAGCAGTCGCTGAACCATGAAAATGAGGTCAAGGACAATGGACATATGACAGACAGAAACTTTGTAACATAAGACATCTGCATACAAGGTATGAATCATCCAGGTCTTCTACCTCCAGAAATATAAAACTTTATACAAATAGTTTACGCCGTCGCCGGATTGTTATTCCCTATCTCGCATTCTGCAACTTTGGTCGCACGTGAGACAAAAACCACACTTCCTTGGTGTAAATCAAAGTATGAACGTGACTGACCGATCTGTACTCGTTATTTCCTTCAATTGGATAGATGCAATAATTAGTCATTAAAATTTGAATTATGAATACATGTTTAACCTTTCAAATGCCCTTAAGGTTAAAGCTAAATCATTAGAACTGATGACCGAAAGCCTTAATAAAATATCATTGGCCCATAACAGGCGATTAAGATCTTGACTAGTCCGGGATTGTTCCGCCATATAACGACCGTCTTAAGACTTCATATGGCCGTTGAAATCCCAAAAAGGTCGTTGGACGTCAGAGTAATCTTGGACTAGAGACTGACGTGTTGTATACTGAGACACTGGTCTATTGTTTGCGCTCTATCGTGTTTTCTTCTTGTTTGACTTTCTGTCTCATTAACGTACACCCCACGCCTCCCTTAATTCAAATCCAATCTATTAATCAAATATTGAAATCCTATCTGCAGATATATTGTATGTTTGATTTGTTTTGACATAATGTAGTTAATATAAAAATAAGAAGATGTGGTATGATTGTCAATGAGACAACTCTCTACAAGAGACCAAATGACACAGAAATTAACAACTATAGGTCACCGTACGGCCTTCAACAATGAGCAAAGCCCATAAAAGCTATAAAAGGCCCCGAAATGACAAATGTAAACCAATTCAAACATAGAAAACTAACGGCCTGATTTATGTACAAAATAATGAACGAAAAACAAATATGATATACAACTTTTTTACAACAAACGGCAACCACTGAATTACAGGCTCCTGACTTGGGACAGGCACATACAGAATGTGTCGGGGTTAAACATGTTAGCGGGCGCCCAACCCTCCCCCTTACCTGGGACAGTGGTGTAACAGTACAACATATATGAACAAACTATTAAAATAAGCTGAAAAGGGCTTAACTCATCAGATAGATATAAAGCAAAAAAACAAGTAACAAAACACAGAGTGGACGTGACAGGGTACTTAATATACATCCCCACAACTAAAAGACACTAAGAACAGATCTGAAAGTACTCGCACTTACTGACAGCTAGTTCACAGCTTACGACTTGTTTTATTTTATCTTATTTCCTGACATAGTTGTAATAGCACTATTAGCAGGATAAAGGTAAAATAACAAAGCGGAACATTCGTGTAGTCAGTATTGGCATTTAAATAGAAGTTCACCTTGCTTAATATTACCATCAAATAATCATATGGGATTTCTGTGTGCACTTAGCAAAAGTTGGAAATAACATAAACACTACGATTATCGTTCTTGTGTTTATTGATTAATCAGAACCCGTTTCATAAATATATTTTTTCTTTACAATCACCTGACTTTAGCTCCAGCAGACGAAACGCGCATATTGCCCCAGGTATCTATGACGTACGATGGCCGAAGTAAGCCGACAAAAATACTATTTAAACTTTGTATAGTACTGTACAGAAAGTTTGTACATAGTACTTTCTTGTTGTTTTACTTCCTGGTTAAAAGATAGTACTCTGTACAGAAAGTTGGTACATAGTACTATCTTGTTGTGATACTTCCGGATTAAAAGATAGTACTCTACAGAAAGTTGGTACATAGTATTATCTTGTTGTTTTACTTCCTGGTTAGAAGATAGTACTCTGTACAGAAAGTTTGTACATGGTACTATCTTGTGTTTTACTTCCGGGTAAAAAGATAGTACTCTGTACAGACGAGTTTATTTGTAAACTACACTTTCAACTATTATGTCATAATGTAAAAAATAAGTTTATTTTTAGATCGAAAAATTTAATAAGACTAATTTTAACCAAAGGGCTCTATATGGGAAAAATATAAAAAAGAAAAAGAAAATAGTCTTACAAAGAGAAAGCAGTATATTTTCCTCACAATTATTTGCGTTTAAAACTAAACGAGCAGGTCAGAAAAAATAAAATAAAAATCTTAAACATCGTATATAAGTCATAGTATTAGTATTTACCGACAGATCCCTACTCCGGTTACTATCTCTGGAAATTTTCACTTGTCCATAATTGATTACAAGAATCAGTCTACAGTTTGTGCTTTTACTATAAAGGAAGGATTTTTTTTAGTGACAATGGCACTGGGTATCAAAGAAGAACATCAATTCGGATTTTACAACAATCTTAGACTGAGAATATTTCAAGTTCATGATGGGAACCAGGTAAACGAAGTGTTTCTTTTTAGCTCACCGTTCCGAAGGAACGGTGAGCTTTTGCCATCACTTGGCGTCCGTCGTCGTCTGTCGTCGTCCGTCGTCGTCTGTCGTCGTCCGTCGTCGTCCGTCTGGTGTAAACTATTTCAATCATCTTCTCCTCTGAAACTACTGAACCAATTCCAACCAAACTTAAGCTGAATGATGCTTAGGGTATCTAGAATAAAGATATACTGTTTCGTCAAATAACATGGCCGCCATGGCTAAAAATAGAACATAGGGGTAAAATGCAGTTTTTGGCTTATATCTCAAAAACCAAAGTATTTAGAGCAAATCTGACATGGGGTTAAAGTGTTCTTTAGGTGAAGTTCTATCAGCCCTGAAATTTTCAGTTGAATCTGATAACCCATTGTTGGGTTGCTGTCACTAAATTGGTAATTTTAAGGAAATTTTGCAGTTTTTTGATATTATCTAGAATATTATTAATGATAAAGATAAACTGTGTACAGCAAAAATGTTCAGCAAGGTAAGATCTACAAAAAAGTTCATATGTCAAAATTGTCAATTGACATCTTAAGGAGTTATTGCCCTTTAAGGACAATTTTACACAATTTGTTTATCATGTTTTCTAACTTTAAAAAATGTTCTTCTCTGAAACTACTGAACCAATTCCAACCAAACTTAAGGAATGATTCTAAGGGTATCTAGAATAAATTTGTGTTTTATTTTCTGTTTCGTAAAAAAACATGGCCGCCATGGCTAAAAATAGAACGTAGGGGTAAAATGCAATTTTTGGCTTATAGCTCAAAAACCAAAGCATTTAGAGCATTTAGAGCTAATCTGATGAGAGGTAAAAATGTTTATTGGGCCAAGCTCTGTCAGCCCTGAAATTTTCAGATGAATCTAACAACCCATTGTTGGATTGCTGCCACTTAATTGGTAATTCTAAGGAAATTTTGCAGATTTTGGTTATTATCTTGAATATTATTAATGATAAAGATAAACTGTAAACAGCAAAAATGTTCAGCAAAGTAAGATCTACAAATAAGTTCGTATGACCAAAATTGTCAATTGTCCCCTTAAGGAGTTATTGCCCTTTAAAATCAATTTTTCACAATTTGTTCATTTAGTTTGCTTACTTTAAAAAATCTTCTCTTTTGAAACTGCTGAATCAATTTCAGCCAAACTTGGGCTGAATGAGTTTTAGAGTATCTTGTATAAATTTTGTATTTTATTTTCTTGTACGTCAAGAAACATAGCCACTATGGCTAAAATGAAACATAGGGGTAAAATGCATTTCTTTGATTTTGAAGAAAATATGACAGATACAAAGAACATTTCAATGAAAGTTTTAAGCCATTCATGAATATATATATTGAAAAGCAAAAATAATCATTGATGAAAGATTTAAGCAAAAAATTACAGGTGAGCGATTCAGGCTTTTGAGAGCCTCTTGTTATCATATAGTATGAAAAAATAGTTTATTGTCTCGAATGCGACGAAAGTCGCAGAATGCGAATCATAGGATTAAAATCCAGCGGCGGCGGCGACGGCGACGGCGTAAACTATTTGTTTAAAGCTTTATATTTCAAAAGGTAGAAGACCTGGATGCTTCATACCTTTTATGCAGATGCCTTAAATTACAAAGTTTTCGTCTGACCTATGTTCATTGTCCTTGACCTCATTTTCATGGTTTAGCAACTGCCTGAAAAAAAAACTCTTTTTTTGTAATGTGAATTACTCACTTATCATAAGTAATATGATAAATACATTTTGTATGTGGGTTCCTTGCAAAGTCTACATATCCGTCAGATTGAATTTACCTGATCTCGACCTCATTTCATGGATCAGTGATCAAGGTTAAGTTTACGTGGTTAAGTCCAAATCTCAGATACTATAAGCAACAGGTTAAGTATATTTGGTGTACGGATTAATTGTAACGTGTACGTGTCTGACTAGCAGGTTTCATCTGACCGTGACCTCATTTTCGTAGTCCACTGGTCAATGTTAATTTTTTTCTGATTTGGTAAATTTTTTAGATACTATAAGCAATAGGTAAACACTATTTGGTGTGTGGAATGATTACAACGTGTGTATGTCCGTCTGGCAAGATTCATCTGCCCTTGACCTTATCTTTATGATTCATTGGTCAATGTTAAGTTTTCCTGGTTATGTCTGATTATCAAATACTGTTAGCAATAGGCCAACTATATTTGGTGTTTTGAATGATTGCATGGTGGACATATTTTCTGGCATGGTTCATCTGACCTTGATCTTATTTTCAATGTTCATTTGTCAATTTTCATTTTTGTAATTAGGTCTGTTTCTTGGATATCATTAGCAATAGGGTAACTATATTTGGTTTATGGTATGATTGTAAGGTGTACATGTCTGTCTGGCAGGGTTCATCTGACCTTGACCTCATTTACAATGGTCATTCATAATGTTAATTTTATATGAAATTCACTGATAGTAAAACTTTCACATTACACACTTTCAAAATAAATTCAATCATGATAAGTAAAGCAGGCGAAACATTTCAGCGTGTGATCTCTTGTTTTGAAAGCCGGAGAAAAATTGAAAGTCAAAATAACAGAAACAAAATACTTGCATGTCGTTGGTGTAGTGATTTTTCTTTTCTTTCATTTAATGTTGTTCTTATATTCCCTAGAGTTCCAATCAAGTCTTGATTTTTCTTTGTATTTTGCAAGCCTTAGTGTTGATATAAATAAAATATTTAAATAGTCTTTTGTTTTCAAATGCCTATCACATATTTTGAGATTAAATTTCTGTAAAATGCAAAATACAGTTTAAACTGAAAGAATCTCAAATCTACAGAAACTACGCACAAGCTTTATTGTATACATTACTTTTTTTACAACAATGAGATTCATTTTGAGATGATTGTTGCTGAAATCAAAATTGCCAATATAATCCATATATTCCAGTGTATCTATGATAAAAATCTGAATTCCACAGCCATCATTTGTTTTAGAATAACAAAACAATTAAACATGCAAAACGCCGAAAATCGAATTTCCACCAGAAAAACTTTATATGAGATTTTTTTTAAAATAAAAAAGAATAATGTTTTTTTTTTAAATCAGATTTTAAAAACAATTTATTTTTTAACTTATAGTTAAGATACCTGGAAGGAGAACAGAACGTGGAACTGAAGTGTTGCCATCCGTGCATTGAACCAGTTATTAACAATTTTCAAGCTGTTTTGATGTTCCAGAATCCTGAACAGAAAACGACAGCAATTGAAAAACTTGAAAAGGTATATCATCCATATGAGCGGTATCCCCCTGAAACTTTTACACATGGAAAACAGTATAAACGTCGTAAATTATTCTAATGTTTTATTTTGAAAAAAATCTTATTGTTTTACGGTGAATAATTTGTATTATTAGAACATTGCATTACACCGTATGCTCTTTGCGTATCAATTTGAAGAAGAGTTGACACATATAAGTATTTGAGGTAAAGGGCTACAAAAAATCTAAAGACTGAGCAACATGAACCATATTCCATAACGATCAACCGACTCGTGATGGCGTCCGTAACACTTTCGAAGGGATGGCGTCCGTAAAACTTTCGAAGGGATGGCGTCAGTAACTTTGGAACCCTTGGTTCAGTAACTTCCTTGTTAGCATCAGCCCTCTTTTTTCTCGACCGACCCTCATTGTCAATTTCTAGCTGAAATTGAAGATATGAGGCAGACTTTAACTTTAACTGTATCTGTGGTATCCTTTATTTCAAGTCTGAAAGAATAGGCGTGTTCAACAAAGTCACCACACATTGTATTATTTAGTGAGATGACATGTGAAAATAAGATGTGGTATGACTGCAAATGAGACAGCTCTCCACTAGAGACCAATTGAGAGATGACATGTTCACAAAGTACAATAGTTCTATATACCCATATTATTGACTTAACAATAGTAGTAACTGAGAAACTTGCTTATAAAGTAAACTTAAACGTTGACCTATAAAAAATTAAAACAACACGTTATAAATTTCATGCTTCCTCGTGAGAATATCTCTTGAAATTTTCACTTGGCAAGAATCGATAACAAAATTAATAGAAAAAACAAAGGATATGGGGTATCCATCCATGACACAAAAGTCTGGAATTCGTGCATGTACTATTGAAGGCAGGAAATTAAATGCAATGAAAGCACTGAACAACTGTTTTGTGTTGAAGTCTACGTAGATTATTGATACCCATATGCACGATTAGTTTTAAGTAGGTATTTCTCATTCAAACGTGAAATAACTTATTGTGTGCTTATTTTAGGTTCGTGATGACTACAGCAAAAATTTAAATATCCAAGCAAATCTTGCAGAAATGTATAGACAGACGAAACAGACAAAAAGAGAAGAGGATTGCAAGAAAAACATAGAACGAATTCTCCATTCCCCCGATCGAGACATCGAAAAAGCCAGAAGTTTGGCAGAACAAGGATACATTTTGATGATAGACTTACATTCAGAGACGACCGATAGTCCTGAGAAAAAGATCTTGGACTTCAAGGATCAAGTAAAAGAAATGTTGGAGTCCTCAAGAGGTCGTATTCAAGACGCAGGATGTAGGAGTATTCTAAAAGACGTAACGACAATTCAGAAAAAGCTGCTGGGTTTGCATACAAACTGCCACAAAGAAACGACCCAAGAGAGGAAACGGGCAGTTCAAAAATTAGCAGAAGCCATTCGAATTTTTGAAAACATCAAACAAAACGACAACACAATATCGACGGAAGTTAATGTTTGGAAGCATTATCTTGGTAAAGCATATCACAGATTGAGTGGTGGAAGTGATGAAATATTATCAGGACTAGATAAAAAGATATACATTAAGAAAGCAGTTGATTCTTTTGAACAGGTAGTCGTTCATTTCCAATCCACGGTTACCAATGACAAAGAGCCAATAATTCTTGCAAGAACGTATGCTTATATCGCCTGTATTTACATTCAGAAAAAACACAGAATAAAATCAGATGAACATTTAGGAAAACTGAAAGTAAAAGACATTATTGCATTACAAGAGCCGATGCGAATAGCAGCCCTTGCAGATCAAATCTGCATTAAACATCCCGATCGAGTTACTTTCAACAGACTTGGTATGTTGCAAGCATGGGAAAAAGAATGGCCGAAAGCGGAAGAGTATTACAACAAATCTATAGTTGTGTGCAGTGACTACAACTGGTTTGCCTACTCCTTACTTTGCCAGCTTTATTTAGATAAACATGTTGACCGCTTTAAGGTTGACAAACAAGAGTCTAGAAATTCAGCAGAATTAAAAAAAGCCAAAGAATATGGAAATAAAAGTCTCGACAAGAGAAAAACCAGCATCACACTATGCAGACTGGCTAAAGTTTGCAAATACATGGGAGAATGGAATGAGGCAATCAGATATCTTCATACTGCTCTCTGTAGCCACGAGTGTGACAAGCATCATGAATTATATGCAATCTTGGCATACTGCTTGTACCAAACTAGAAATTTTGAGGGTGCAGTTCATGTAATGAAAATAGCCATCACTATAGAGCCTAAAAATCAAAAAGATCCATTGAATTTTAGACAATTTCTGGAATATTTATTGGAAGAGTTTAGAGTTAACTTCAAAAAGTCAAAGGGACAGATTTGGCAAAGAAAAAAGAAAGATTTAGAAGAGATATGCTGTGTTCTTGAAGAAGCATACAGAAAGCATAAGCAGAGGATCAAGTACCAGTGGATAAATGTGATTAATAACTACCCACACGAGACTGTCGAGGTTATAGACACATTGATTAAACAGACATCAAGTGAAAGAAGAGACACTTTGATTAAAATGGGATTGAAAGCTTTAAAGCACCACAAAGGAGAACATGTCAAGGAACGTGCAAGGAGACTGGAAGAGAAAAGAATGACCAATCATACCCCTCAAGATACAGAAGTTTCAATAGACCATACCTCCAGACAAATATCCGGAAATTTTACAACAACTGATGAAGAGTATCTTTTCGACTATTATGTTCTTTTTGGTCCATCAGAAAGATCATGGGTAGAAAATATTTTCCTGGATGTAATTGGAAAAGATTTCCACATGACAGAATCAATTTTAGAAGGTATAAAATTATTATTAAACAAACACTTTTATTCAACGATTTAAGCTTTTTTTTAAAATCATTTTCATTTCAAATATCAGTTGAGAATGTGTTAACAACTGGTTAACAATTATACAATTAACCTGGGACCTTATAATATATAATTAAGTCCCAGAATTATATGCAATTTCTATTCAGTTCTCCGAACATAAATTAACCACAGGTTTCTTAAACTTAAATTGTAACATGAGATAACAATAAACAATTTTACTGCACCAGATGCGCATTTCGACAATTAATGTAACATATATATTTCATTCTGTTTCCAGGTCTAGCTTACAAATCTGGACACACTACTGAAGATATCTTCAAAAAATGCAGAATGTTTGTATTTGTCATTTCTGAGGATTTCAAAACAACACCAAGAATTACTGATCTTGCTCAAAAACTCAAAACCCTGTGCATCGATAACAAGGAAAAAAGAATTATTCCTGTAACAAGAGATACAACAATGCCCGACTTTTTGAATACTTTAGAACCCGGTCATGCAGATGATATATTTACAATCAGAAGTGCCATACTTTTAGGATTGAATGAAAGACAAGACTTGAATGATGACGATGGTGATGCTGATGAAGAGGACAACACCAGTGATGAGGAGAAAATGGAACAAACAGATGAAACTTCAACAAACCAAAGAACAGAGAGTGAATAATGCATTCAGGTTTCAAGTGACCGTAATATATGCAATTGCATTTGTAAATCATTTTTAGTTTTTACTTGAAGCTGTAGCACTAGTTGTATGATAAAAACAAGAAACGTTTTTTGGACAAATAAGATCCTATACCTGATGGTGTTACACAGTAATGATAGAAAATTCCAAAATAAGATTTTTGAACAGTATCTTACAACCAATACAAGTAACCAAATTGTATGTTCTTGGAGTTTTTTGCAAATAGAAAAACAATTTCTTTTCATCAAATTAGAAAACGAAAGTGAACAATTCAAATGTGACTCCTTTTTTTACTGTTGATTTTTGTTGTAATCGTTATTAGTTTCTAAGCTAGATTTTGTATCATAGTTCTGAGATAGTAAACGTGTTAAGAAATCATTAAGAAAGTAAAGTTCCAACTCCCTCAGGCAAAGCAGAACTTGGATGAATTTTGGCTATCCTCTTTAGTATAAAAATAAAGATTGCCAATGAGAGACTGAAGGTGCCGTATCGCCAGCTGATGGTGCAAAATCAGCAGGTGCCGTATCAGCAGGTGAGTGATTTAGACCTTACTGGATAAATGTACAATTACAATGTTTGCCTTGTTCTTGAATCAGTGAACACTTAGCTGAATGATTAAGTTATTGTGGTTTATCCATCCTAGAAGGTTAATAGTGCATCAGAGCACTGAGCCTGAAATGTAAAACTTTGTGAATAACAATAGTTCAGGTTGTTATACCCTTCTTTGAAGGTTGATTAGAGTATATTAGTACTCAGTTTCTGTATATTCCTTCTTCGAACAAATGAGGGTGATAATCTGGCACTCTTGTGAGACTGAAAGAGTGTCCGAGAATTCACTTTCGGTTTGTCTGTCCTTGCAAATATGGAATTCTGTATTGTAAAATATTGCGGTTTCCCTCTAATTTATATTCCTTAGGAGACCGATAAATATTAGATCATTAAATACTTATCACTTTGGGTAGAGTTCAATGCTATGTTTATTCTCTATAAAGGGTTACTGTAAACCAACTAATATTTGCGAGTTTTGCGAGTAGAAAAATAACGCGAATATGTAAAACTTGGATCTTTCCTTATTTAACTGCATCAAGTAAATTAGAAAATAGCGAAATTAAATCGCCTCAAAGTGGACTAGAAACGGCTAAATGTGAAATAAAGTTTCCACAAAAATTAGTTGGTTTACAGTATATTGAGGTCATAAATTGTGTATTGAGTTGTGTAATAAAGTGTCTGTTTAATTATGAAAGACTAAAGTTAGGTAATTTGGTTCATTTGATTGGCATTTAAGATTTTACCTAATAAAAATGACAAAAATAGCCAGCAAACTGATATAAACATATACTTGAATGAACTGTTTTAAAGATATTATAACCCAAATTTGTGTCTATGTATACGGCATGAGAATTATTGGGAACTATATTTCAGTGTGTATAGATTTAGTACCTCACCTGTCTATTTTCTGTTTGGTGAGGTGCCTTTGAGAAAAACTTGGAACAATATATCTAATATTTCAACAACAAAAAAGGCAAAAGATCCCAAGGGAGCAACCAGAAACCACACGTCTAAGAAAATAGCAAACACCATGGCAAAAGAAAAACAAGTCCATCAATCACTACACATAGAAAAGTATAAATTGAGTGATCAAAACCCTACCAAAACATGGGGTGAAATGGGATCATCTGTGACACATCTTTTTCATAATGGTCAATCAAATCATGAAGATATGACTTTAACTTTACCGGTAGGAACCCTTTGTGATAATCAGGAACTTTCCATCAAGACGAACATGGTAGGAAATGCAAGCTCTAGGATATTGTATGAACTGAGAGATATAAAGTTGTCCTTAGTGTACTTGTTATATTTAAAATTTTGTAGTTCTGTTTTGGGTGTATATATTGGGTTTTTTTGCCATTATACTTTGAATTTTCTGATTTTCTAATGTTTTCATTTTCCAGTCATTTTCTTGGTTAAACAGTCAACATTAGTGTATGTTAGTATCATAATGTACTACCAGTATTTTCAAGTATACTCCAGATGAAAGTTCACAATTTGTATTCAAATTTTGTTCAAATACAAATTTCATTTTTTTATTTTATTTGTTTTCCTTGTTTTATTTTAATCCAAATGTTATGAATACAATCATAATATATAGTAAAAGTTCAAATAAACTATATGTAATTGAAAAGAAATGATAAGGTGTATTAATTTCTGAAACAACTCACTACTTCCACATGACAACCAAGGGCAAATACAATTGGCCTTTTTCATATATATATAAAAATAAGAAGATATGGGATGATTGCCAATGAGACAACTCTCCACAAGAGACCAAATGACACAGAAATTAACAACTATAGATCACCGTACAGCCTTCAACAATGAGCAAAGTCCACACCGCATGGTCCGCTATAAATTGCCCCGAAAAGACAAATGTAAAACAGTTCAAACGAGAAAACTAACAGCCTAATTTATGTACAAAATAACGAATGAAAAACAAATATGTTACACAGCAACAAACAACAACCACTGAATTACAGGCCGCTGACTTGGGATAGGCACATACAGAATGCGCCAATCCTCCTGCAAACCTGGGACAGTGGTGTAACAGAACAACATAAGAACAAACTATAATAAACTGCTTCGCCGAGCACAGCTGGATACGACCGCAGAGGTCCAACCCTGAACAGTTGGGGCAAAAATGGACACAATATTCAAGCTTGATACAGGTCTAAATTTCGATTGTAATTAAATATTTGACACATTATAGGTTTCTGACACAGAATAAATGTAGTCGAAGAACTTGAAATTGGTTGTATGATTTGAATTTATACTCAATTTAAGATTTCTTGCTGTTGTACAATACACTGTGCTGTTGCACCATACTTAGTAAATCTGTTTTCAGACTATATACAAACGAATAAGCAAAATAAATTGTGACCCCCAATTTTTTTCTTTGGAAAATTGACAATTTCTTAAATCTTGAGGGAAAAAAATAATATTTTTAAGAGAATTTTCTATTGAGGAAAAAAAATTTCCCCCACCCCCATAAATAATTTTACCTTCCCCCCCCCCCTTCCAAAAAAAATAAATTTGAAGACATTTTCTTTTTGTAAAATGTGGTACAAATTAAGAGACATCCATACACTTTAACACAAGTTATTGTCTGAAAACTAGAAAAATGCTTGTTTTAGACCCTTTTTGGCCCCTAATTCCTGAACGGTTTGGGCAATTACCCCCAAAATGAATCCCAACCTTCTACTTGTGGTATTGATCCTTGTGGTACAATTTCAGAGCAATCAAAATACTTATACACAAGTTATTGTCCTGAAACTAGAAAAATGCTCGTTTTGGCCCCTAATTCCTAAAGGGTTGGGACCATCACCCCCAGAAACAATCCCAACATTCCTTTTGTGGTATTGAACCTTTTGGTTAAATTTCATAGAGATCCATACACTTAAACACAAGTTATTGTCCGGAAGCCAAATGTCTTCGGAAGACAACGTGATACCAATATAAAAATCATAAAAAATCATAAACAAGAGGCTCTCAAGAGCCTGAATCGCTCATCTGTAATTTTTTGCTTAAATCTTTCATCAATGATTGATTTTGCTTTTCAATATATATTAATGAGTGGCTTAAAAATTCCATCTAAATGTTCTTTGTATCTGTCATATTTTCTTCAAAAGCAAAATAAAATGCTTCGCTGAGAGCAGCCTGATACGACCGCAGTGGTCCAACCCTGAACAGTTGGGGCAAATTTGGATACAATATTCAAGATTGATACTGTCTGATATTTGATTGTGATCAAATTTTTGACATAATAAAGGTTTCTGACACAAAATAAATGTGGTCAAAGATCTTACAAATGTATTGCCCAATACTGCACAATTGAAGATTTCTTCTTTAAACTTTTCAAAAATTTGAAATTTGAAAATTTGTGAAAAAAAATATGAATTCCTTAAAAAAATTGGAAAAAAAAATCCCCCCCCACCAAAAAAAACCACTTTTGGAACCCCCCCCTTGGAGCAATTACCCCAAGACTCAATCCCATCCTTCCCTTTGTAGTATGGAACCTTGTAGTACAATTTCAGAGAGATCCATACACTTAAACACAACTTATTGTCTGGAAACTAGAAAAATGCTTGTTTTTTGCCCTTTTTTGGCCCCTAATTCCTACAAGTTTGGGGCAATTATCCCCAAACTCAATCCCAGCCTTCCCTTTATGATATGGAACCTTGTGGTACAATGTCAGGGAGATCCATACACTTACACACAAGTTATTTGTCCGGAAACTACAAAAATTGTTGTTTTTGGCCCTCAATTCCTTAACTGTTGGCCCCATAACCCCTTAAATGAATCCCAACCTTCTACTTGTGGTATTAAACATTGTGGTACAATTTAGAGCAAACAAAATTCTTATACACAAGTTAATATCCTGAAACTAGAAAAATGCTTGTTTTTGGCCCCTTTTGGGCCCCTAATTCCTAAATGGTTGGGACCATCATCCCCAAAATCAATCCCAACCTTCCTTTTGTGGTATTGAACCTTCTTAAAAAATTTCATAGAGATCCATTCACTCTAACTAATGATATTGTCCGGAAACCAATTTGTCTTAGGATGACGACACAGACGACGCAGACGATGTAGACGACGCAGACGACATCATACCATTATACGATCCCAAAAAATTGTTTGCGGTCGTATAAAAATGCATTTTACCCCTATGTTCCATTTTAGCCATAGTGGCTATGTTTCTTGACATACAAGGACATAAAATACAAAATTTATACTAGATACTCTGAAACCCATTCAGCCCAAGGTTAGCTGAAATTGATTCAGCAGTTTCAAAGGAGAAGATTTTCTAAAGTAATAGCAAACTAGATGAACAAATTGTGAAATTTTTTTTAAAGGGCAATAACTCCTTAAAGGGTCAATTGACAATTTTTATCATTAAACTTATTTGTAGATCTTACTTTGCTAAACATTTTTGCTGTTTACAGTTTATGTTTATCATTAATCATATTCAAGATAATAACTAATAAATTGCTTCGCCGAGTGCAGCTGGATACGACCGCAGAAGTCCAACCCTGAACAGTTATGGCAAAAATGGACACAATATTCGTGCTTGATACAGGTCTGAATTTGGATTGAAATTAAATGTTTGACACATAATAGGTTTCTGACACAGAATAACTGTAGTCAAAAAACATAGAATTGGTTATATGATTTGACTTTATATTCAATTTTTTGCTTTTGTGCAATTCACTATGCTGTTGCGAATTGCCCCCTCCCCCAAATACCCCCCTTTTTTTGCTTTTGTGCAAACACTATGCTGTTGCAAATTGACCCTCTCCAAAAAAAAAATTCACCTCTCTTTTTTTTTTGGCAAAAATTGTTTCACCCCACCCCTTTTTTTTTGCAAAAAAAAAAATAATATTTGAAGAAATTTTCTTTTTAATTTCTGAAATCTGTAATGAGAAAAAAAAAATTGTCCCCCCCCCCACAATTTCTTTTTTACCTCCCATCCCCCTCCCCTTTTTCCAAAAAAAAAGATCTTTCCCTCAAGATATGGTCATTATCTCAATTCAAATTTCCAATGGAGTTTGCAACCATAATTACCCATTTAAATACATCATAAAAGTTTAAAATAGAAAATGACATACATAATCAGGTCTAAAAATAATATATCTTTAATCAGCATTTTTATTAGTAACTTCTAAAAATAAATTGACAGTTAATCACCTCAAGACAATACAAAATTTCTTTATACATAATTTTAAAGCAGTGTAAGGGAGGTAATCCAAATTTAACATTGTACTTAAAAAGTGATTGTCCATTAACAAGGAAACCCTTGTTTTTTTTCCTCTTTTTTGCCCCTAATTCCTAAACTGTTTGAGCCATTACCCCCCAAAGCCAATCCTAACCATCCCTTTGTGGTATTGAAACTTGTTGTACAATTTCAGAGAGATTCATACACCGTTCCACAAGTTATTGTCTGAAAACTAGAAAAATGCTTATTTGGGCCCCTTTTTTGGCCCCTAATTCCTAAACTGTTAAGACCATAACCCCTGAAATCATTCCCAACCTTCCTTTTGTGGTTATAAACCTTGTGTTTAAATTTCATAGATTTCTGTTTACTAATACTAAAGTTATTGTCCGGAAACCAAGTGTCTTCGGACGACGACGACGTGATACCAATATTCGACCAATATTTTTTTTGAGGTCGTATAAAAATCAGTTGAAAAAGGCTTAACTCATCAGATGGATACAAATAGAAATAAAACACAGAGTCGACGTGGCAGGGTACTTATACATCCCCACAACAAAAAGACACTAAGTGCAGATCTGAGAGTACTCACAGTTACTGACAGCTAGTTCAAAGTCAATAACAACTAATTAAAATAAATGTGGATAGTGTCCACATGTGGACACAGATGATGCCCCCGCTTGAATATCATATAGTTATAAAGGGACATAACTAAAGATTGGTAAAAGTGACACTACCCAAATTTGAACTTGATCTGAGTTTTGTGGTAATAAGCATTGTGTGTAAGTCTCATAACATTTGGTTGAGACTAACTTAAGTAGAGAACAGAAACTAAAAATTCAGCAATTTTTCTATTTGTAAACACGCATATCTCTAGAATGGTTGTGTATAAGTTTTATTACATTTGGTTGAGACAAACTAAAAAATTCAGCAATTTCTATGTTAAAAAGGGAAATAACTCAAGAATGGTAGAAGTGTCGCCACCAAATTTCGTACTTAATCTGTATTATGTAGTAATAAGCATTGTGTATAAGTTTCATAACATTTGGTTGAGGCAAACTAAAGTTAGAAAATGGAAGCAAAAAATATGTACTTAATCTTAGTTATGTGGTAATGAATATTGTGTATAGGTTTCATAATGTTTGGTTGGGGAAAACTTAGGTTGCAGAATGGAAACTAACAATTTTGCAATCTTTCGATTTATAAAAGGGCATAACTCAATAATGGTTAAAGTGACACTACCCAAATTAAACTTGATCTGTGTTTTATCATTGGAAGTCAAAATTAAACATTGCATTGTATAAAGCATTGATTGTAGTTGATGCAACTATAATCATGAACAAAGGAAGATAACTCCAATTTTAAAAATAACTTGATATTTAAAAGAAAATAAAAATTTTGCAATTTTTCCATTTATAAAGTGGCATAACTCTAGAACGGTTAAAGTGACGCCACCAAAATTCAAACTTGATCTGTGTTTTGTGGTAATAAGCATTGTGTATAAGTTTCATAACATTTGGTTGAGGCAAACTTAAGTTACAGAACGGAAACTAAAAATTTTGCAATTTTTCCATTTATAAAGGGGCATAACTCTAGAACGGTTAAAGTGATGCCACCAAAATTCAAACTTGATCTGTGTTTTGTGGTAATAAGCAATATGTATAAGTTTCATAATATTTGGTTGAGGCAAACTCAAGTTAGAGAACGGAAACCAATTTTGGGACGTACAAAAAGGTAAAGATTTTAGTCTTAGCTGCATGATTTTTTATGCCCCCGCCGAAGCGGTGGGGACATTAAGTTTTACCCTTGTCCGTCTGTACGTACGTACAGACGGACAAGGGTAAAACTTAATGTCCCCACGTACGTACGTACGTACAGACGGACAAGGGTAAAACTTAATGTCCCCACCGCTTCGGCGGGGGCATAAAAAATCATGCAGCTAAGACTAAAATCTTTACCTTTTTGTAAATTAGAATTTTCTTTTTGGCTCTGGTACAAGTTGTGAATCTAATCATTTGACAGATCTCTATTTTATCACTCATAGAAAATGTTATGCCAGATGCCCCGAAAATATTGTCAGTGATTATTTCTAATCTATGATGAGGTTACTGTGGATTTATAATTATTCGTTGGATACAAATTTTCATGGATTTTGTGGGTAAAGGGAAACCACGAATCAAAATATCAAACAAAGACCAAATTTTCTATAGGCTTGTATGAAGACTTTCGCAAAACCATGAAATCAAATATGCACGAATATGCAATTATTCCTCAATCCAAACAAGAGTGCACACGCTGAAATGTCTCGCCTTCTTTACTAACCATTTATATTATGTGGATAGTTCTAAATGAAAGCTTTACTTCAACTATTACATAAACTTAACATGATCCAAGAAAATGAAGTCAAGGTCATATAAACCAAACAAGAAATACATGTACACCTTACAATTATTCAATACACTAAATATAGTTGACCTATTGCTTATAGTTTCTATGAAACAGACTTAACCAAAAAAACTAAACATTGACCAATGAATCGTGAAAATGAGGTCAAGGTCAGATGAACCATGCCAGGCAGACATGAACAGCTTACAATCCTTCCATACAACAAATATAGCTGACCTATTGCTTATAGTTTAAGAAAAACAGACTGAAACACATAAACTTAACACTGAGCAATGAACCGTGAAAATGAGGTCAAGTTCAAATAAAACCTGCGAGACTGACATGTACATCATAGAATATTTCCATACACCAAATATAGTTGACTTATTGCATAGAGTATAAGAAAAAAGACCAAAACTCAAAAACTTAACTTTGACCACTGAACCATGAAAATGAGGTCAAAGTCAGATGACACCTGCCAGTTGGACATGTACACCTTACAATCATTCCATACATCAAATATAGAAGACCTATTGCATAAAGTATAAGAAAAACGGACCAAAACACAAAAACTAAACTATAACCACTGAACCATGAAAATGAGGTCAAGGTCAGATGACACCTGCCAGCTAGACACGTACACCTTACAATCGTTCCATACACCAAATATAGTAGACCTTTTGCATACAGTATAAGAAAAACAGACCAAAACACAAAAACTTAACTATAACCACTGAACCATAAAAATGAGGTCAAGGTCAGATGACACCTGCCAGTTGGACATGTGCACCTTACAGTCCTTCCATACACCGAATATACTAGACCTATTGCTTATAGTATCTGAGATATGGACTTGACCACCAAAACTTAACCTTGTTCACTGATCCATGAAATGAGGTCGAGGTCAGGTGAAAACTGTCTGACAGGCATGAGGACCTTGCAAGGTACGCACGTACCAAATATAGTTATCCTATTACTTATAATAAGAGAGAATTTAACATTACAAAAAATCTTAACTTTTTTTTCAAGTAGTCACTGAACCATGAAAATGAGGTCAAGGACATTGGACATGTGACTGACGGAAACTTCATAACATGAGGCATCCATATACAAAGTATAAGCATCCAGGTCTTCCACCTTCTAAAATATAAAGCTTTTAAGAAGTTAGCTAACGCTGCCGCCGGATCACTATCCCTATGTCGAGCTTTCTGCGACAAAAGTCGCAGGCTCGACAAAAAACTGGTATCCACCAAAATAAAAGAATCCTCAGTAAAAAGTATTGGTGTCAAATTCAAAAAAGACATTGTCTATAATTGAGGTTAAATTAGGGCTACATAAATAATTTTGTCCATTATTTACAGAAATCCCCATCTTTTTTTCCTGAACTTGATTCGTTGTGTTTGTCTTATTGACATGTACCCTTAATCTCATTTCATTTTTTTGTACCACTAAATGGCCATCAATTTTTAAAGCAATTTGAAAGGCATGTCAAATGCTATAAATAAACAGAACAATATCAGTATGTTTTGAAATATTTTATGTAGCTTCCACTTAGAGTATATATGGCTGTTTCAAGGAAGTTGTTGATACTACCTACGTTACAGAGTATAAGATGTGCGATTCAGTGCAAAAACTTAAAGTTTATAATATTCCCAAGCTGGAAGGTCAGACTTCCTCAGTGTTAGGTTTAAAAATATAACAGAGATAAATGAACAACCATAGAGCCTTTGAGTCATTAACTTTATTCATTTCAAGAACACTGAGAAATTGACAATATCTGCTATTCACAAATTCTATTTTTGTTTCATTTTTTCACATTTTCGTATTTTTATTATGCATGAAATATTCAACTTTAACCAGCTAGAAATTAAACATTTACAATGATTTTCACACTAGATGTACATTGTACTATGATGAAGCCATCAGATTTCAAGAACCATCTCTTTTTGATTTTGCTCAGAGACTGGATATAACTTAATCAGATAATAAGGTCTGTTTAACTATTATAAATTTTTTAACTGTGTAGCTCAAATTGAGATAGAATAAATTTTTTATCTAAATTGTAAGAATGATTGCAAAAAAAAACAATTCATGAGTTAGTAAAATTCTTAAACTGAGACAAAGATCAAATCTGAAATTATGTCTAGTTTGTTATTTAAGATCTGAGAAATAAGAGTCTATAAACATAACATTAAAAATGTCTATTCAAAAACATAACAAAATATTTCATTGCAACAATAGCACCCATATAAGTCCCAAGCTTAGGAAATAAATTCAAATCATCAAATTTAATCACGACTGTATCCTTGTCCTTCTTTGATTTGTGTTTTATTCTTCTGGTTATTTGTCACTGATCCCTCTTTTTCATCACTGCTGATTGGTTGGTTTTCTGTTGTGTGTGTCCTATGACACTGAGTTTCACGGAGAGTCTTGTCAAAGGGCTTTACTCAGCGTTTTCTGAAAGAAAACATTCAATATGATATTGATCAGTTCCGAGAAACACCAAACTGGACCTTTATGACACTAAATTATCTAAAATAAAAAATAAAAACATGTTTTGACAGATTATCAGAAATGTTTAACAAAACATTAATTTAAGTCATATGTTCAAATCTCTAACTTATATCATTTTTTTTATAATTTTAGGCAATTCAAATCCTATATAATCCCCAACCATTTTAGTTTTTTACCCCTTTTTAGCAACTTTAAAAAAAAATTCTTAAATAAAAATAATAACTTGATTATATTAGAAAGCCACTCCCATTGTTATTTAAAGCGACTTCACAAGTGACCAAGCCAAAAACATACACCTAAATAATAAAGACTTGCTCATCGTCTGCAAAGAGGGCAAAGATAGAACAGAAATATGTAAATTTCATGCAACTGGCAGTAATTGGGTCAAAATAAGATCAACCAAATATAACAAAATTCATACATAATATGTAACTTTTCAATATACAATCATACAATAATATGAGCAGATGGTTGAAATTTGAACAGAAAAATCTTTTTCATGATATTTTTTTTGGCTTGACTTCACCGTTATAAGGTAACAATGGTATAAACCATAGCAAAACTCATGTAACTTCTAATAATACAGTTTTCATGCAAAAGTTCAATAACTATAAAGTAGGTAATCAATCATGTAACCAATATTTCATTTGTAACAAATCATTATACAATCATAAATAAAATAAATGTGGATAGTGTCCAGATGTGGACACAGATGATGCCCCCGCTTGCATATCATATAAGGGACATAACTGAAGAACGGTCAAAGTGACGCTACCCAAATTTGAACTTGATCTGAGTTTTGTGGTAATAAGCATTGTGTGTAAGTCTCATAACATTTGGTTGAGGCTAACTTAAGTAGAGAACAGAAACTAAAAATTCAGCAATTTTTCTATTTGTAAACATGCATAACTCTAGAACAGTTGTGTATAAGTTTTATAACATTTGGTTGAGACAAACTAAAGTTAGAGAACAGAAACAAAAAAATCAGCAACTTTTATGTTTATAAAGTGACATAACTCAAGAATGGTAAAAGTGTCGCCACCAAATTTCGTACTTAATCTGTATTATGTAGTAATAAGCATTGTGTATAAGTTTCATAACATTTGAATGAGGCAAACTAAAGTTAGAAAACGGAAACAAAAAATTTGTACTTGATCTTAGTTTTGTGGAAATGAATATTGTGTATAGGTTTCATAATGTTTGGTTGGGGCAAACTTAAGTTACAGAATGGAAACTAAAAATTTTGCAATCTTTCAATTTATAAAGGGGCATAACTCAATAATGGTTAAAGTGACATTCCCCAAATTCAACTTGATCTGTGTTTTATCAGTGGAAGTCAAAATTAAACATTGCATTGTATAAAGCATTGATTGTAGTTGATTCAACTATAATCATGGACAAAGGAAGATAACTCCAATTTTAAAAATTACTTGATATTTAGAAGAAAATAAAAATTTTGCAATTTTTCCATTTATTAATGAGCATAACTCTAGAACGGTTACAGTGACGCCACCAAAATTCAAAGTTGATTTGCGTTTTGTGATAATAAGCATTGTGTATAAGTTTCATAACATTTGATTGAGGCGAACTCAAGTTAGAGAACGGAAACCAATTTTGGGACGTATGTACGTACAGACGGACAAGGGTAAAACTTTATGCCCCCACCGCTACGGCGGGGGCATAATAAAATATTTAAAATATCTGCAAAGAAGGCTGAAAAGCGGGAAGAAAACTGTATTTCAATGAAATTTTGTAAGTGCAAGGATTGTAATAAGAACAAAGTGGGCTAACTAGAACAATATTTACAGCTTATCAATAACTTATAGCCATGGATATGTTTCATTTTAAGTAACAGCCACCATAGTGGTTGATTTTCATATATCTCAAAAGCTCAAAATCAAACAAACAACAGACAAAAGCTGTTAGCAATATTTTAGCTCCCACTAACCCCAAGGTTTTGGTGACCTAACAAATACAGTTATCAGTTATGTAGAGTCATTCAGAAACTACCCAAATTCAACAACAGTGGAAATACAGAAATTTTTCTGTTAAATTACTGCTCATGAATGAATATCTTGAATGTCTTGGAGATCAAAAACAACCTATACATATCAAAATTACATGGAAACATTTAAATCATATACAAGACAATATACATATATAGATCTAAAATAAAAAGTAATGAGTGAACTGACATATAAAAACCTTTATGTGAATCATTGAACATTATTCTTAAACTTCTAAGGATTTTGCATGTAATACTCACTTCATCCCAAACATAACGTCAGTACAGGGCTCCTTTATGTTGGCCCTTTTGGATATTGGTATATAATACTTAGTTTTATCCACACATCAGGTCAGCATCAGGTGATAACTTTAAACAAAAACTGCTCCAGCAGAGTTATGAGGAAGGAGACTGAAATCGACACTGCATAAGTTTTTCGGTCACCACCAGGAATTGGTTTACCGATACAATATGTCTGTGTCTCAATTCACTAGCAATGTCTTAGATCTTTAGATACCAGAATATTTGTCTATTCTGTAATTTTACCAATATTAACCTATTCCGGATTGTGAAATTTTAACTGAGTGTGGATTTGTATGGCAGGTGATACATTCATAGCAAGAGACACTATCAATGCAACTGTTCTTGCTCCTTTTGGAGTTTATGCGATACCTTCAGTTTTTGTTTTGTTACTTTGATTTGTCTTGATTTGAACAACGGTAAACTACTGTAGCCTATATAAAGGTGTTAGTATCAAATATTTACTTACTAACTTTCATCAAATAATCAAGGCATTATCTAGGTTTTTGTATAGAATACTCACTTTGATCCAAAGATCAGGTCAGCATCAGGGGCTCCCTTGGGGTGTTGGTACCTTACTCTCCTCTCTCTATTTGCATTAACAGTAGGTAATTGTCTATTCATTGAAGCAATCATTTCTGTGAAATACAAATATTAATAAAATTATCTGTCCAAACATTATTGTTATTCTATTACTGTAAAATTATTGCGATGTTTTTAATCATCGAAAAATGCGAGAGTATCAGGTGCGCAATAATAAAAGCCTGCGTTCATAATTTTAGTAGTTATATTCCTTTGAAATTTTTTTTAGATTTCTCATTTTTTACCAGTAATCATGATTCACAATAATAAATGCACATATTAATTTCTGAATTTACTGTACAAAAGACAGCAAGAGATAAAATGGTTCAAAATTGCAGCTAGTAATGAGTGAATTTAGTACAACAACAATTACTATGACTGTACCAAACAATCTGATTTTGAAAGGTGTTTAAATCTCACTAGGCTCAATAACAGGAATAAATAATTCTGACAGTAATACTGCTTATTTCCTAAATGAATTGCATTAAGTATAAAAGAACTCTACCACTTAATGCAATCTTGAAAACAATGAATAACAAGATGAACTGTGAGCTACTGCTCACTAAATATACCACTGATCAATGTTCTTGACTCTGTTTTGCAGTAAATATATGAATCAATCAAATTTTGAAAGAAAAAAAGTGAGGATGCTCAATAAATGGAATGAAGAAAAACAGGAAGAAGTATGACTTATAGTTACTGAGAAAAGTGTCATGAAAACCTTAAGATGTATTTTTAATATATTAGTTTAAATTAACACAAGCAGAACATCAAAGAATTTAAAATATTTTCCACATAGTATGGCATAACAAGATGATGTTTGCTGCAATATATCAAGAAGCTATGCATTGTAGAAAAAATGCAACAGAACTGTTATATTTACATAGATAAACCTGTATACAAACTTCCTTTGTAGGTGTAATACCACCAAATCATAGTATGTCACATCCGGTTGCATACGAAAAAGGGTAGAAAAAAAATATTCCCTTGAATTTGACAGTTGTAGGAAATTAATCCTACATTTCACTGCAGTAAAAAATTTCTAAGCTATAAACATATATCTTGGGTGCTTCAAAGCACCATTATTTTTTTATTTGTGTGTTTCTGTTGAATATTTTGGAAACTTCAGGTTATATGGTTACTAAAGCTTGTACACAGGTAAAAAAAGGTGAAAATTTGATTGGTAAACTTCCAGTGATGGTTATTTTCTTATATGCAATGAAATGTTATGTGAAATTTTGTATATAGTACTGGACAGGATAAAACTTTACTCATGCCAAGTATTTCTTTATTTGAAACAAAGATAAATTCTGCACATTTTTTTGAAAAGTGCAAATTTAACAAAGACTAATAGGGGAAAATCAATGGTGGTATTACACCTGTAGCAGGGGTATAAAAACAACATTTACTTGCAACAATTTATATGAAATGACTTAAACTTTTAATATTTGATGCTAAATAGAGTTCAACCATTCCTTACAGGAAAAGACCATGTCAAGTTAAATAGAAGTAATTACAGACAGATAGACACATGTGTTATTCCACACTTTTGTTGCAGAGAAAAAATATTTGAAAATGACCTTGGTAATCTTCTTCTTCCTGTCTTTCATGGATACCAAGTACAACCTGTTTCATCTTTTCTTTTTCTGCCTTCTCAGCCTGCACAAAGAAATCAACAGAAATAAAACATGTTTTGTTTATATTTAAGACAGAAATTCATTCATGTGAAAAGTTCACATACAAAAAACTTTTCCTATTTACCGTGTTGTAGGTAAGAACAAGAATGTGTCCATAGTACACGGATGCCCCACTCGCACTATCATTTTCTATGTTCAGTGGACAGTGAAATTGGGGGTCAAAACTCTAATTTGGCATTGAAATTAGAAAGATCATATCATAGGGAACATGTTAACTAAGTTTCAAGTTGATTGGACTTCAACTTCATCAAAAACTACCTTGACCATAAACTTTAACCTGAAGCGGGACAGACAGACGAACGGACGCACAGACTGAAAAACATAATGCCCCTAACAAATAAAGTTTCCTTTAAAGTGATATTGTGTTTATTGGTATACTAATAAATGCCTACCAGAACATGCAGAATTTGTAAAGGGTTAAGATGAACTTTTTTTGTCCTTAACAGACCTGGTATGTCCAGCATGTATAAAGTTATACATGGCAAAATTAATTAAGTTTGCATTAAACATCTTACAGTATTCTTATAGAATCACTGGTGTGCTCTAAAGGTTCTCTGATAAACTTGTCTAATGTGACTGACTTCATGAAGCAAAGTTCCTTGTTTATAAAACATCACATAAATGAATAAATGGCAGTTTTCAGTATGAAATCATACAGATTTGATACTAACTATAATATCATAAACATTCTAATGTTTAAAAATAGATAGTAAGTGTAAAATTAATTTCTGGATGACAAGAAGTTACTTTGACTCAACCTACATTAGTCTTAGGTGTTCTAATATGAACTTCTTGTTTAGGCCCTTGACACAAGACAAGCAAAAGTAATTTCATTAGGAATCACAGAAAATTAAAAATAATACTAAAACTTCACTTGATATTTCATCTTTATAAGTTTATATTTTTCCTGTGTACGTCTGTGTGATGCATTATTATATGAGTGTATGAATAAAAGACGTCAGGTACACATTCATAAGACAACAACCAAACAATACAATTTTTTTGGGTTGTGATAAACTTTACCTGTGTCCTTTCTTTGAACTTTGTTGCAAATTCTTCTGAGATTGGTACATTTATATTGGTAAACTGAAAGATTTAATACATCATTAAAAGTACATTATTTGCAATATACAATATATATTCTATATAGTCTTAACGGTGTAATAACAATTTTTTAACCACAAAAGTTGAAACATTTTACCTCTTACTATCAGTGGAGAAAATTTTAGAAAATCATCCAATCAGAATCAAAGATAGTCTCTAACAGCCATATTTTTATCCAGTTGGAACCAAATAAGGATCACTTGTAGAAAACCTTCCATATATCATTCCTGCAAAGTTTGGTTAAAATTGGATAAGTGGTTTCCGAGCGGAGATGAAAATGTCAAAAGTTTATAGACCACAAGGAATGACACATGCCAAGTGAAGGCATAAGCTGATATGGCCCATAGGGTTAGGGAATCTTAAATGTATTGAGTTCTGTGATTACACAAGTAACATTACTCCATTTCATAAATGAATGACAACAATTCCGTTTTATAGAAACATTGTGTAAATTTTATACGATAAGTGATCTTCATTTTAAAGGGTTAACTCAAAAAATATAAATACTTTTCAACCTAAATGCCCTCATAATACTACACACATACACTCCCACTCAAATAAACATTACCTGTTGTTTGTTTCCTCTACGAGTCATCAACATAAACTCAATGGAAGATTTTTCTTCTTTTGGTTCATCATCTGTTAAAAAGAGTATGTATAATAATTACTGTCTTCAAAAATTATGATGAAATCATCACTAGGAAAAAGGTCAATTATGATTATTTTTGCTACTATTTCTTGCTCTCCAAGACCCTGGAATGCTGTTTTCGTAAGTATGGGGATGTAAACATAGGCATTCACACCTGTTTGGTATTGAATTTTCATATTTTTAATTGGATAAAGTGCAAGATTATAGAGTAAAACACACATTTACCTGTATGAGGGAGTGATCTCTTTTATCATAATTTGAAAAGGGACCGACACTGATGTAGGCCATTTGTTGAGCAGAATATCTGTCAATACTATTTCATTTCATCTAGTTCGTTTATTTATCTTTTATAAGTATTCTTGAACATATCTAAATATCAAAGTGCTTGTGAGCACTGAAAGGGTAAAATTGCTTTAATTTGCAATTTTGTGAATTTGAAATATAACATTGAATTATAATTAGCTAGGCAAATTATAAATTTGAGTTAGAGTTTTCTTCCTATGTTCATGATTGCCCTATGTACCTTTGGGCATAACAAGGACCAGGTAAGTAGGTAGGTTTATGATTGTACATTGTAGTTGAGCCTATTTTTACAACAGATTCATACACAATGCATTACTTATGTAATTTTCAATAAAGAAAAGTTTTCTTCTTATATATATATATATATATGTGTGTGGTTTACTTTTACAAATTGTGACTTGGATGGAGAGTTGTCTCATTGGCACTCATACAACATCTTCTTATATCTAATAATTAGGTTTCAAAAAGTTCATCTCTTTGAAAAATTTATTAAATCAATGTAAACAACTGCTTACTCTATATGAATGCACATGCAAATAATTTTAGTCAATGGCAAGATGTAAATGACAGTCAAAAAATTGACAAATCAAACAGGTTTGTGAATAGGAACATAATTAATATCAGAGTTTAAATATAAATGGGAAATATAGTTTAAGACTGACTTGTAAAACTACGTTCACAATGTTTATATACTGTCCCTACATTTTGATTGGCTCTCTGCCTGACTGTTGACTCCTCCCAGAGGAAAAAGTATCTGAGCTAATAATGATTTCAAATTTCAGCTAGAAAGCAAGGTGAACAAATATACTATTTTCCTAGACACTAAAATATATCCACTGTAATAGTTATTTTACTTTTTTCCTGACTTACAATTTAGATATTTATTTTTACTTTTGGCTTGTGTTGGAACAGCAATGTCCATCTGTGGTACTTTTAATGATTCCTGAGATCTAGCCTGAATTAAAAAAAGCAGAATCAGATTAATTCTATCAAATGGCATGTCTGACTTTAATATGTTTGTCATAACATTGTTTGTAACATTATGTATCTGAAATCACCTCACACTTAATATGTTAGCATTCATAAGTCACCATTGCTTTATAAATGGCTAGTGCTGTATTGATAACTAATATAATTAAACATCAAATAATGAAAGGAAAACGGTGACTTCAAATTCCCCAAAATATTCAAAAATTGATCAGATACCTTATTTCAGTTCATAATTTAATGTAATATAGCTCATCCCAAACTCATTTTTTCTAATCATAAATGAAGTAATATTTCAAATAAAATTTTGATTATTTGCAGTTATGCATAATATTTATGTTCATTTGAATGACCAATAGAAACAATGGCTATACAGAGAACTATCTCTCTTTCATTAAAATAATGTATCACAATCTATGATTAGTCATCTAAAATAAACCAATGATCAGTAAAGGAATTCCTAATATTCCCATCACTAGAAATGACTTAACATACATTTGCTAGTATGCCGACATGGGAGTTGTATAACGCAATGAACTTTTCTTATCTGTGTCACTCTTTGTAATCAAATCTTTGAACAAGATTGATTTATATTATGTATTTGTATTTTGCCACTGAACTTGTTGATTCAATGTTTTTTAAAATCTACCTGAATATTGTCAGCCATCATTTTGTCAAAAGCAGATAGAAAGTCATCATCTTCTTGACATTTGATATTCTTTGGAGCACCGGTTATAACATTCACCTGAAAAATGACAGTTGTAAATAAAATAAAGTTTTAAGTTTTGTTAAACAGTATCATTTACATTTTACTGCACTTTTTATTTGAAAAACAATTCCCATTGACAAGAGTACAAAGCAACTTATATTTGTAAATCAACATAACAAATGCATTTAAATAAAAAAAATTGTTATTAATTAATTAGCATACAAACAAGGCTGTCACATTTTGATATTCAAAACTAGGGGCTCCAAGAGCCTGTATTGCTCATCTAGTTCATTAGGTGATTGCATTAAAATTGTGCTCAGTAGAGGCTGGAACACTGGATTCAAATGCATGATGGAAATCTCGAGGAAGATATTACAAGATATTTTATACTTTAAGGACTAATTAACCAACATTATTCCATGACTATTTAAGGACAATAACTACTGTATAGAGTCAATTAATGGTTTCAGTCATATGGTATTTTAGTAGATCTTGTATTGCTGATCAGTTTTGCTGTGTACAGTTTCTCTATATATCTATTAAAATTTTAAAGATAATATGCAAAAACATGTAAATTTGGCCAAAAGAGTAGTTTAATAGCAAATTCTCCTACAAAAAGTCATTTGACAGCTGCAGTCACATTGCTATTTTCGTAGATCTTGTATCACTGATCGTTTTTTGCAATTTTATGATAATAGACAAAAAAGCTACAATTTGTCAAATAATCATTAATTAAGATCAGTGCTGTCATTTATAGTTCAGTCATATTGGCACTTGTATTGCTGATCATTTTTATTATTTACAATGTCTTTCTATCTGCTATAGTTAGTAAGTTTAAATAATAGGGAAAAATGCTAAAACTGATAAAAGAAATAATCATTTCAGGGCAATAACTCCTATATGGGGTTTTCTGATAATTTTGGTACTCAGGTACTCATAGAGTAGGTAGATCACAACATTCTGAACTTTTTTGCCCCATCAGATTTTCAGTATAAATTACAGTTTTCAAGATATTAGACAATTACCTGCAGTTTACCCTTACGTTCTAATTCTAGCCATGTCGGCCATGTTTGTTGATGGAGCAGAACAAAATAAACAAACTTTAATCTAGATACACTAAGGAACAATCCTGTAAAGTTAAAATTAAATTGATTCTGTAGTTTTAGAGGAAATGATATTTGAAATAAATGTGGATAGTGTCCACATGTGGACACAGATGAATCCCCCGCTTGCATATCATATAGTTATAAAGGGACATAACTGAAGAACGGTAAAAGTGACGCTACCCAAATTTGAACTTGATCTGCATTTTGTGGTAATAAGCATTGTGTGTAAGTCTCATAACATTTGGTTGAGGCTAACTTAAGTAGAGAACAGAAACTAAAAATTCAGCAATTTTTCTATTTGTAAACACGCATAACTCTAGAACGGTTGTGTATAAGTTTTATAACATTTGGTTGAGACAAACTATAGTTAGAGAACGGAAACGAAAAATTCAGCAATGTTTATGTTTATAAAGGGACATAACTCAAGAATGGTAAAAGTGTTGCCACCAAATTTCGTACTTAATCTGTATTATGTATTAATAAGCATTGTGTATAAGTTTCATAACATTTGGTTGAGGCAAACTAAAGTTAGAGAATGGAAACGAAAAATTCAGCAATTTTTCCATTTGTAAAGGGGCATAACTCTAGAACGGTAAAAGTGACGCCACCAAAATTCAAACTTGATCTGTGTTTTATGGTAATAAGCATTGTGTATACGTTTCATAACATTTGGTTGAGGCAAACTAAAGTTAGAGAACGGAAACGATAAATTCAGCAATTTTCCATTTGTAAAGGGGCATAACTCTAGAACGGTAAAAGTGACGCCACCAAAATTCATACATGATCTGTGTTTTGTGGTAAAAAGCATTGTGTATAAGTTTCATAACATTTGGTTGAGGCAAACTAAAGTTAGAGAACGGAAACGAAAAACTCAGCAATTTTTCCATTTGTAAAGGGGCATAACTCTAGAACAGTAAAAGTGACGCCACCAAAATTCAAACTTGATATGTGTTTTGTGGTTATAAGCATTGTGTATAAGTTTCATAACATTTGGTTGAGGCAAACTAAAGTTAGAGAACGGAAACGATAAATTCAGCAATTTTCCATTTGTAAAGGGGCATAACTCTAGAACGGTAAAAGTGACACCACCAAAATTCAAACTTGATCTGTGTTTTGTGGTAATTAGCATTGTGTAAGTTTCATAACATTTGGTTGAGGCAAACTAAAGTTAGAGAACGGAAACCAATTTTGGGACATACGTACGTACGTACAGACGGACAAGGGTAAAACTTAATGCCCCCTCCGCTACGGCAGGGGCATAAAAAGTTTACAGATGAGGTTAAACAGTATTTTTATCAATATCTGACATTAAAACATTTTCTGAATACATGGTGATCACAAAATCTACCTCTGTATCAAAATCTTCTCCAGCACTCTCTGACATGTACTCCTCGTTGCTTTCATCTGCATACTGGGCCTGAAATAGTTAACATAGGAAATACAGGTTTGCAATAGTTTATAAGAAATTAATGAAACAACTTACAATGAATAATTTCTTTACAGTAGTACAATTTTCTTGCATAATTTTAACATCACATCAAAACTAGCTGTTTGAGACTAATTAGTACAGATGACAGTTACTTTACAACTTTTTGATTAATTTCTATCTATAGGACCCATATATTTATTGCAGGACTAATACTGGTTTGACAGAGTTTTAGGATTATCATTTGTCAGCTGCAATCAAGTAGGTCTTTGATGAAATACAGGTTTAACTTTTAGGTGAATAGAACCACACAAAGGTAAATACAAAATCAATCTGCTGAATTACCCTGTCATAAAAGTAAGGAAAGTTAATTGAATATCTGGATCTTTAACCATAGGCAAGCAATCTAAAACAGGTTTAATTTTTCAGCGAGGGAAGAGCAAAGCTACAGCAAATAAATTATTCAACAAGCTGTTCTAGCAAAATAGATGAGGATGATAGAATGGTGTTTAACGTCCAGTAGGAAATGTTACATGCACATAATGATGTGATATGAACCCTAATTCTCCTAGACCTACAAGCTGAGTAAAATTTTTAAAGCACTAGCTAACAAAGTAACAGTCGGCTAGAAAGCATGTCACATTAACAGGACAATTTATTCCGTTTCCAAGAGAACCAGTATTTGCTCTTACTCCTTAATGCCATGTGCTTAGCAGAAAAGCAAATAACCATTGTCAAGTCTTCGGTTTGACACAGCGAGGGATCAAACCCACAACCTCCCTTACTCAAGGCAAGCACACTATCATGAAACCACGGAGATGGTTCAGCAAAAAAGAAATATGTTTTAACCTCTTATATCAGCCCAATCCTGTAATGTACTTTAAAAGTACTCTCATGTTATTCCAATAGCATCCGTATCTAACTGACCAGTATATAGCCAAGTGATTAGAATTAGCCTATCTCTGAAACTTACTTCAATATCCTGACTATATTGTCTCAAACCATCTTCCTGACTTGTTCCGCTATCATCCATCTCTAACTGTGACAAAGACTGACTTAACTCGTCTACAATCAAAATAATTTTATCTTTAAAATGAAGATTATAATCCAATCATAACAAGAGGCTGTCCAGTGACAGCAAACCGGATTTTCCTGCAGAGGTCGAACCCTGAACAGTTGAGCAAGTATGGACACAACATTTAAGCTTAAAACAGCTCTGAATTTGGATTGTGATTGAATATTTAAAATAGATTATTATCTAATTAATAACTAAAATGATGTTTGCAAATCTGAATCCCCAAACAGGATCATGTAAAAATTAAACATTAACACACACAACAAAAATAAAATACCACATAACAACTGTGACATCTACCTTCATAACACACATGACTTAAAAAAATAGTTATAAAGAAATTTTGACTAAAATTAATTGAACAGAATCCATATACTTATGTTATCATTACTGGTTCATGGAATAAGTTTGAGTTATTTCCCTTTGAACAGAAATGGTTTAACTAATAAAGGGAACACAGTTCTCTAAAATTAGATATGATTTAACCACTAAAAATAGTTCTCTAAAATTAGATATGATGTTACACAATGTATATCTATTTTTAAATTATAATCAAATAAAATTAATAGTTCCAAATACTTTTTCTTTCATTTGTCACAAACTAATATAGATCTGCAACTTATCTATCAATGTCAACAACTTTATCCACACAATGTAATGTAATGAAATATATCCTTTAATAAAAATAGATTATTATCTAGTTAAAGGAGTTCACTTCATCAAAAAACAATTTTATATAGCATTCAGAAAATTAGTTTATACAGAATAACAAACAAACCTACCACAAAATTCTTCAAACAATTTACTGAAGAAAAGAAAAAAAAATCCAAAATGTCATTTATTTTTTAAAAATCTTTAAAAAAATGAGTTATTTCCCTTTGAACAGAAATGGAGTAATTAAGACGTATTTCATCAAAAATTAAATTCTTGGGAAAGGGCTATAACTCAACAACAAGAAGAGCTAAAATCGTGAAAATTGAACTTGACCTTCATTTAATCACAGGAAACAACATATTTCATGTTAATGAACGGACACTGTTTGGCAGCGCCCCCCCCCCCCCCCCACCGTACATCCCCAAATTAATAACTGATTTTTCCTTCGAAAATCCAGTTAATAAAATTGAGAATGGAAATGGGGAATGTGTCAAAGAGACAACAACCCGACCATAGAGCAGACAACAGCCGAGAGCCACCAATGGGTCTTCAATGCAGCGAGAAACTCCCGCAATTAACTTATCAATAAATTTCAAATTGAATAAAACTCATATGCATTTCTAAAATCTATTATTGTTAGTTAATAAAATTTTATCAAAACATGCTGTTAACAAGTTTTCGAATCTCACTGTCCTTTGTACATCTATTTTCAAATCATTTACTGATCAGAATGTAAATCACATGTTAAACTGGGTCTCTTGGCTTGTCATCATTGAAGACAGTGCTCTCTGCTATCATGAGAAATTCTACCTCTATTTTATTTGTAGCTTACCAATTTCTTCTGACTCCTGGATTGTACATAATCCGTCATCCGGTTCACTGTTATTTCCTTCATCTATATCCAATAGGGGTAATACTGAAGCTACAAAGTTGAATTTTGTAATAGAATAAATATATGTTTCCATTAAACACTGCCCAACTCGCACTATCATATTGCCATGTTCATTGAACCATGAAATCATTACCAAAATGGCAATTTGGCATTAAATTTTGAACTTGATGTGACCACAATTTCATGTTAAACTACTTAAACTAATAATGAACTTATTTAACACTTAAACATTTCTATGTTCAGTAAACCATGAAAACAGGGGCAAAACCGAAGTTTGGTATACAATTTAAAAAATTCACATCATAATTAATTAGTGTACAAAGTTGTTAAACCTGGTACGAGATGGACAAACGGATGGACAAACGCACATACCAGAAAACAAATTGCTCCCTTCTACCATAAAAGTACAATTTTTTTCCTCTGTGAGTCAGAAACATTGAAGTTTTATGATAGAAACATTATAAAATCGGAGATTAAACAGCCTATACCTATTTCTCGTCATACCTTGTTTTCTAAGTCTCAAATAGTTTCCAATGTGGATGATTAACAAAGCAGAACCTATTTATTCTCAACCCTTTTTTCTAAGTCCTAATCAATAGCTTTAAATGCTGATATTTAAAGGAGCTTCTTATTTTAAGTCTTATACAAAAGATATAAATACTAATATCTATTCTTATTTTTCTACTCCTTCTAAGTCTTCACCAGTTCTCTCTTCCAATATTTAACATATACTACCTATTTTTGGCTTGAACAGGGTATGAATGTGTGGAGTTTTAAAAGACCATACTTTTTTTTGGTTTAATCTATTTTACCAAATATTTAACAACTTTCACCGTCAGATATTTACCACACTATACCTATCTTTTGCTTAAACTAATTTTGTTATTCTAACTCTTCATCAAAATTTTCACAGGTGACCATACCCATTTTTTTTTTATTGTTGTCCTAAAATACCTTTCAACAAAAACAAGCATTCTGAGAGTATTGCATGGCAATGCATAGTCTACTACCAGTTAAAATTTCAATTGTACTGAAAAAAAATGCTAACTTGATCTATAACTTGTCATGTTGTAAACAAAAATCAAGTCAATATCTTCAAGCATGATGAAAAAAAGTGTGTAAACTGATTATTTGAGTGAATTTTCCAAGTCCAAGGACCATAACTCTGCACAAAATCATCAGACCGGAACAAAATTCGTACCTGATCTGTAACTTGTTATTACAAAGCTACATATCAATTATCAAATCAATATCTTCAAGCATGACCAAAAAAAGGGTGGAAAACTGATTATTTGGGTGAGTTTTCTAAGTCCAAGGACCATAACTCGGCACAAAATCATCAGACCGGAACAAAATTCGAACTTGATCTGTAACTTGTCATGATAACACTATATACCAATTTTGAAATCAATATCTTCAAACATGACTAAAAAAAGTGTGGAAAACTGAATATTTGAGTGAATTTACTAAGTCCATGGACCATAACTCTGGACAAAATCATCAGACCGGAGCAAAATTGGAACTTGATCTGTAACTCATCATGATCAAACTATATACCAAATATCACATCAATATCTTCAAGCACGAAGAAAAAAAGTGTGGAAAACTGATTTGCCGGACTGATGGATGGACAGACAGACAGACGGACAGAGTGCAAACCTAAAGTCCCCTTCGACTTCGTTGGTAGGTAACTAATAATTATTTTGACTTGATCTTGTTTTCCAATTTTCAATAAGTTTCAGTAGTGTTTTTAGATAGAACATACCTAATTTTGGCTTAACCTCCTTTTCTAGGTCTTCAATAGCTTTCATTGCCTCTTCATGATCCTTTATTAGCTTGGTCTTTGGTCTGATTGTTTCCATGGTATCCTGAAATAAGTTCTTGACATCTATTGGGAAAGGCCGATCCTCATTGTATATAGAGTTCATCTTCTTGTACAAATAGTATTTCTGTAGAAAAAAATACCACAAATAAAAAAACACCAAAAACCAAAAACAGTTTCAAGTAAAGGAAATGGGCAGCCTTCTATGAATAAAACAAGGGGATAAGGTATAAGAATGATTTAAATGAAACAATCCAATAAAATATCTTGGAAGAAAACATTTATCAGAGACAGGAACATCTTTAACTTCCTCCTTACAGCAACAGGTAGGCCTTAAAAATGTTATCAAATAAAAAGTTGGAATAGCCAACAGACGCTCACTGAAGAAGACAATTAATGTCTGACATATTGGTTCTCAAGGGAGAAGAATATTTCTTTTTAGAATGAATAACTTTTGAAAACAATGTGTATCTAACAAAAGTGATAACATGAAAAAAGATAGCTTTGCTCAAAGTAAATATATTGAGGATAGGATCAATTTAAAAAAAAGCATTTCAAGTGTTTCAGAACTAAGCAAAAGTTTCTGTGTCAATGGACCATACCAAATATCATTGACTTACAATAAGTGGTTTCCCTGTAAATGATATTATCACAAACTTTATATCCTAACTAAGCAAAAGTTTTAAAGTCAATGTACCATGACTGACTGTTAGACATTATTTCTTAAAAAATTCTATTCTTTATCCCATTGATTGCATCCATGTCAAGGATCAGATCACATGGATCTTACCTGGAAATAAAGTAAGAAACAATCCAGCTTCTTCTTACTGGATCCTTTATCAAAATATTGTCCACAGGTCTCTAATATAACACAGGTCAATCTGACTCTAAACAGATGTTCTGGTGGGTCTAATGGAGAAGGAGTATTTTCTGGAATTATATAAAACAAAATATCATTAATTGATTTTAACCAGGACAGTACTCTGAGAGTTAGGACATTTATCGGCAAATTCACTATTACAGGGTCATTTTCTGTCAAGTTCATGTTCACCAATTTGACTCAAATTCTCATATTAGATTTTTAACATACTAAGAGTATATTCAATTACAAAAAGTTAAAAAAACCAACTAACAAAACATGGACTCGTTATAATGTTTCATCATTTTGGATGTATTTTCGACTCTCGAGGATGGTCATATGACCTGATGTAAACATAAATTTAAATACACAGACAAGCCTGTGCAATTGTATGATAACTATTTTTTTTTTAGGTCTGTTTGATTTCATATCATAGATTAAACAAGAGTGCACATGCTGAAATGTCTCGCCTTCTTTACTGACCATTGATTTTATGTTGATAGTCCTAAATATAAAGCTTTACTAAAAGTATCACATAAACTTAACATGATCCAAGAAAATGAGGTCAAGGTCAGATAAACCAAACCGGAAATACATGTACACCTTACAACCATTCAATACACCAAATATAGTTGACCTATTGCTTATAGTTTCTAATAAGTTGACCTATTGCTTATAGTTTCTAAGAAACAGACTTAAACAGGAAAACTAAACATTGACCAATGAACCATGAAAATAAGGTCAAGGTCAGATGAACCATGCAAGACAGACATGTACACCTTACGATCAATCTATGCATTAAATATAGTTGACCCATTGCTTATAGTATCTAAGAAACAAACTTAACCATGAAAACTTAGCATTGACCAATGAACTATGAAAATGAGGTCAAGGTCAGATGATACCTGCCAGACAGACATATAAATTTAAAATTATTCCATACAACAAATATAGTTGACCTTTTGGTTATAGTTAAAGAAAAACAGACCAAAACACAAAAACTAAACATTGAGCAATGAACCGTGAAAATGAGGTCAAGGTCAAATAAAACCTGCCAGACTGACATGTACATTGTAAAATATTTCCATACACCAAATATAGTTGAGCTATTACATATAGTATTAGAAAAAAAGACCAAAACACAAAAACTTAACTTTAACCACTGAACCATGAAAATGAGGTCAAGGTCAGATGACACCTGCCAGTTGGACATGTACACCTTACACTCATTCCATACACCAAATATAGAAGACCTATTGCTTATAGTATCTGATATATGGACTTGACCACGAAAACTTAACCTTGTTAACTGATCCATGAAATGAGGTCCAGGTCAGATGAAAACTGTCTGACAGGCATGAGGACCTTGCAAGGTACGCACATATTAAATATAGTTATCCTATTACTCATAATAAAAAGAGAAATTAACATTACAAAAAATCTTAACTTTTTTTTCAAGTAGTTACTGAACCATGAAAATGAGGTCAAGGACAATGGACATATGACAGACGGAAACTTCATAACATAAGGCATCTATATACAAAGTATGAAGCATCCAGGTCTTCCACCTTGGAAAATATAAAGCTTTTAAGAAGTTAGCTAACGCTGCCGCTGCCGCCGCCGCCGGATCACTATCCCTATGTTGAGCTTTCTGCGACAAAAGTCGAAGGCTTGACAAAAAGTATGACAATCAGTTTTCCTTGTACAAGAATGATTTTGTAGAATAGGTCAATGGAATGGTTCTTTCCAGTGACTCCCTTGTTTTACTGTTCAAGTTTGACATCTTTTCTTTTTTAATAATTAAACATGCTTAGCACATGTGTAACTCATCTCCAGCCAAGGGTTAAATTGAAGTTAGCATGAATATGGATTCAAATGAGGTTGAATTATTGACTTGGAAGCCAAAAATACTTATTTTGACAAATTGAACCAAACTGACAGCCAATAGGAAATAATTATTTCACAATTCGGCTTTCATAAATGTTTGAAACAAAAAAAATAAAATTTCAATTTTTGTTATTTAAATCGTAAAACAAAGTGAAAATCTGTTAAATAAGTATTTTCTGCTATCTCTTGTATAAAGGATTCTTAAGGTTATCATACATACCATCATATGATACTCCAAATGTTATAAATGAGTAGAGAGTTTTGAAAATGACTGATGATTCCACTAGTCTATAGTTGTACAACTCGCCAAGGTATTTAGCACAGCTCACTCTTCTCTGGTTAAATTTAGGGTGGTTTACCTAAAATGTAACAAAAGAAAACCACTGATTATGTACTGTGGATTCATTTTTATTCGTGGTATACCAATTTTCGTGGGTTTCATGGGTCACAGCAAACCACGAATTTAAGAATTCAACGAAGAATAATCCCGAGAAATGTGTATGGAGTCGGATGTTTATTTCCGGTTATGTTATGCAGTTCTAGTATAGTGTTGACTAGCGATAAACATTGTAACACAACACATGTTTTATTGAAAGAAGATACAAGTATTTTGGATTAAATCAATAATAAATATATCGAATATCAGTGATAATTTACTTTTTAAAATTGATTAAAACTGTTCATGGGAAATAACTGCAAATTGTTAATTACCATGTCATAGTTTGGTTTACAGGTGATTAAAAATCAATAGGATTAAGTACGGGGATATTGCCCGTAGGTAATATTGCTTATGACAGGAACATTTATTTTCACACCTTTTACTTATATGACTGTTTATTATATCGTGATTAGGGAAATGAGCTTTCAATCATTGAGTCTTGAATGCCTTATAAAATTCCGACAAGAAAATTATAAATTGTAAAACAAACAAATAATTAGTTGTCTCTGTCCATTATTGTAATAGAAGTTTTCAATGAACACTTTAACCTAGAATGACCAAGCGAGGATTTTGACAATTCAAAACTTTTTCAATTAATTCCTTCTTTTTTGTTTGTTTTATTATTGATGAAACCAAGGAGGTTATATGATCTAAATTAAAAAGAAATCCACGAATTACGTATCTGAATTTATTTTTTTTGTAATCAGCGATCCACAAATTTACGTATACCACGAAACGTCTTTTTAACTCTATCCACGAAAATTGATACCCACGAAAATAAATGAATCCACAGTATGCCATATACTGTTTTTCCTTTAATTTCCTACCAGTTTTCCTTTGCAAACCTCTTAGATTTAAAAAAAATCCTCCTTTTTTGGTGCAGATTGTGAATATCCATTAAAATCAACTATGAATATGTAGAATTTATCAGTAACAATATACATGCATAACAGATTTTTGTTAAATATTAATACAAGTTTGTTTATACATCTTTTGAAATCTGCAATGGCTCAAAATTTGTAAACCATATTTATATGCACATATAAACAACAAGAATGTGTCCATAGTACATGGATGCCCCACCTGCACTTATCATTTTCTATGTTCAGTGGACCGTGAAATTGGGTTCAAAACTCTAATTTGGCATTAAAATTAGAAAGATCATATCATAGGGAACATGTGTACTAAGTTTCAAGTTGATTGGACTTTAACTTCAGCAAAACCTACCTTGACCAAAAACTTTAACCTGAAGCAGGACAGACGGACAGACGGACGAACGGACGCACAGACTGAAAAACATAAGGCCCCTAGGAGGGGCATAAAAATCAAACTTACCTCCATCCCTAACCTGATGTCTTCCAATACACCATCCACTACCTGAATGGCAACATGCTCCTGTAGAGAAACATTTAAAGAATCAATATCAACAATTTAATTTAGCAAAATGTTTCTATACAATGAAAACTACTTAATATAAAAATAAGGAGATGTGGTATGGTTGCTAATGAGACAACTTTCCACCAAAGTTCAAATGAAGAGGATGTAAGCATATACAGTCAAACCTGGGTAAACCTGAACCTGAATAAACAGGTTTCCTGTCCATTCCGGCCGAAAATTGAAGTCCCATTTTTTTTTGTAAAAAAGTCATTGCAAAAATACCCTCTGTAAACCGGACCCTGTGTATTCCAAATTCCGGTCTAATAATGAAGTCCCAATACTCTTAATTACATAAATTATTACCTGTCAAAACTGGTTTGTTCAATTAATTCAATATGATAACAGTATTGATTGATATGCAATCAAAGCAAAATTGTTTACATAAGATGATTTTTTAGCATTATCATTTAGGAAGGTGATAAACCATGAACTTACGGTAGTGAGCGGTTTTTATTGAAACACAATTAAAGTGTCATTTAAATAATTGAAAAAGAAACAATTTAATACATCATCTCCGAATATATCTCAGATAGAACTGACATTGTTTCATTGATACAAATTTTAAATTACGGAGTTAGAAATTTACATCGTGTTTTCGAAATGCTGGGTTCCCCGTTGTGAACCTCGAAACAGATGACACTGATAATGGAGAACACCTGGATGACGACATTCCTTGTCGAGTTTATGGGTATGGTACATTGTACAACAATGTTTCGACCATGATGAAGTTTCGTTTGATAAAATTCTTGCTTTTTAATGGGCTATACTAACGTAGGAAATGAACGATGGAAGTAAAATGAAAATCTTGTTGAACAATTCAAACAAAGCGAGGATTCTGAGGCAAATGAAAACAATGAATTCAAAGTGAAACTGAAACTGACGAGTCAGAGACTGATGCTACCGAGGCCCATTTGACATACAAAGATATTATAAAAAACAGAATAATACTATTTTTTTTGCATTCTGGGTACAATCGATTTCTGAAATTTTTAAAGCCAATGAATTCGATGACTGAAGACCCGATTGTGCGTAATAAAATGGTGAACAGACAGGAAACACTTGTTATATTCATGTATTTTCACACAAATCATGACATAACTTTAAATAAATAGATTATTACTGTCTTTGTTTTTATTAATTTAGAACTTTTACATGCAAAATATCTCAAGTCACAAGTCAATACTTCCTGTCAAACCGGAAACCTGAATAAACCGACCCACTGTCCAAACTGGCCCCTTTCCATAGTCCTACAACAGGCCGGTTTATACAGGTTTTACTGTCTAGGCAACTGAATGGCCTTTAACAATGAGAAGTTAATAACATGGTCATTTTTAAACATGTAAAATGAAAAATTATATCACAGCTTAGGAAAAAAATCAACCATTATTTCATAACATATGAAAGTTTATCGAATGACTTATTCAAATTCTTTATATATGTAAAAAAGAAATAATCATGTACATCAAAAATAAAAGGTCGAAAAGCTATTCATTGCTTCAAAAACTGAAATAAAATAATCACATCAAAAGTTTCTCTTTAATTTGACCCAAATCAAAATAGTTTATAAGTCCACCTACTTGAGGAAAGTTCATAGAAATAATAATAGAATTATTCAATAAAACTTACATAATATGGGGCCAAACCAGCCAATAGATTAGATGAACAGTGTATAGAGTTGTATCTTAAATTCCAAACTGCTATCAGACATTTAGTGGCATAGAAAGCAATCTGAAAGCAATATATATATACTGGTAATAAAAAAAATATCTTGTAAAATTATTCTGAGGAAAAAGTAGCAGTCATCTACCACTATTTCATAACTGGAAATTATATATCTTAAACTTGTACAAATTCAGAACTTGAAATTTAATACAGTTATTTGCCAAGATTTCATAACAAAAAATTGAGTAGAGAAAGTTAACATTGTTGCAGAGCTTGAAAAACTCATGTGTTTAGTTTTGAGTTATTTCTCCACATTGCCATGTTTCTGACAACATATTTACAGGATTTGTATGTCACTCACTTATGTACATCGCCTGACATGTTTAACTGAATATGCATCATTCAGTTATCATCCTATATTTACATCTGGTCATTTAGATAAATATATATATAAATATATACATTTATATGAAATAAATAAGTATATAACAGAATAAGGAAGTATAGAAGGGGAAATAACTCCTACAGCAAGGTATTACCTCTGGATCATCCCATTTCAACTTTCTCAACTGTCTCAATACCTGCAAATAAAAAGATTATATGTATTATATACCTTACAATGAAATGCAATATTAAGAAAAACTCAATAGATGATGATTTCAATTCGCTATTTAAAATGTTGCAACTGTAGTATTGTGTTTAAATAAATTTTATGTGTGGTAAACACTCAAAAGGAAACTTAAAAAGATAAAATGGCAAATGAAATGATTTGTTGATTCCATTCTGCTTGTTCATCAATTTTACTGTTTACACTTTTCTCTATATAAAATATTGTTTTGACAATATCTTAAGAGCCAATAAAATGCTTCGCTGAATGCAGCCTGATACAACCGCAGAGGTCGAACCCTGGACAGTTGGGGCAAGTTTGGACACAATATTCAAGCTTGATACTGTCTGAATTTGGATTGTGATCAAATTTTGGACATAATATAGGTTTCTGACACAAAATAAATGAGGTCAAAGATCTTAAAAATTTGAAATGGGACATTTAATTTACCTAGAATGGTCTGATATTCAAAATCTAACAACATGGTTAGATTCAGCATATAAAAAAACAACAAGAATTTAATTTTAGTTGAAATCAAACAAAGTTTAATTTTGGACCCTTCAGACCTTAATATGCACTACCGGTAATTTGAAAACAGGGCCCAAAATATAAATCTAAATGCACAATAAGATTCATCAAATCATACAGCCGTAATAATTCAGTTTTTGATGAAATCAAACAAAGTTTAATTTTGGACCCTTTTGACCTCAATGTAGACCAATTTAAAAATAGGGCCCAATATCCAAATAAACTGCTTCGCTGAGCGCAGCTAGATACCCCCGCAGAGGTCCAACCCTGAACAGTTGGGGCAAAAATGGACACAATATTCAAGCTTGATTCAGGTCTGAATTTGGATTGTAATTAAATATTTGACATATTATAGGTTTCTGAATAAATGTAGTCAAAGAAATTGGTTATATGAATTGAATTTATATTCAATTAAAGATTTCTTGCTGTTGTGCAATACTTAGTAAATCTGTTGTCAAGATTATAAACAAATAAAGTTCAATTAATTCTCAATGTCATATTAGAAATTTATGAAAATAAAAAGGGAGCTTACATCAATAGATATAAACAATTCACCAAAGTATCATGAGAATTGGTGACAGCATTTTTGAGTTATTGTCCGAAAACTGGAAAATCACCCCTTTTTTTAATGAATAAAACCCCATAACTCAGAAATGTAAAATGTAAAATTTATAAAAATCTAAAGGGAGCTTACATCAATACATACAAACAATTCATCAAAGTTTCATAAGAATTGCTGAAAGCATTTTTGAGTTATTGTCCGAAAACTGGAAAATCAACCCTTTTTTTAATGAATAAAATCCCATAACTCAGAAATGTAAAATGTAAAATTTATAAAAATCTAAAGGGAGCTTACATCAATACATACAAACAATTCACCAAAGTTTCATAAGAATTGCTGAAAGCATTTTTGAGTAATTGTCCGAAAACTGGAAAATCCCCCCTTTTTTATGAATAAAACCCTGTAACTCGAAAACATAAAATCTTAAATTTATAAAAATCGAAAGGGAGCTCATGTCAATAGATATAAACAATTCACCACAATTTCTTGCAAGTTGGTGAAAGCATTCTTGACTTATTGTCCGAAAACTGGAAAATCCCCCTTTTTTTAATGAATAAAACCCCATAACTCAGAAACGTAAAATCTAAATTTTATAAAAAACGAAAGGGAGCTCACGTCAATAGATATAAACAATTCAACAAAGTTTTATGCAAATTGGTTAAAGCATTTTTGAGTTAATGTCCGACATGTTGACGACGGACAGACGGACGGACAGACGGACGGACGGACAGACGGACAACGGTATACCATAATACGTCCCGTAAACGGGCGTATAAAAAAATATACAAGGTTAGAACCCCCAAAAATTAAAGACTTAATCCCATCGAAATTGGTTAAAACAATTGTATTTGTTTTCAATTGAAGATTTCTTGCTATTGCGCAATAGTGTGCAATTGAAGATTTCTTGCTATTGTGCAATACTGTGCAATCGAAGATTTCTTGCTCTTGCGCAATACTGTGCAATTGAAGATTTCTTGCTATTGCGCAATACTGTGCAGTTGAAGATTTCTTGCTATTGCGCAATACTATGCTATTGTGCAATACTGTGCAATTGAAGATTTCTCGCTATTGCACAATACTGTGATATTGCACAATACTGTGCTATTGCGCAATACTGTGCTATTGCGCAATACTGTGCAACTGAAGATTTCTTGCTATTGTGCAATACTGTGCTATTGCACAATACAGTGCAATTGAAGATTTCTTGCTTTTGCCCAATACTGTGCTATTGTACAATACTGTGCTATTGAGTAATACTGTGCAATTGAAGATTTCTTGCTATTGCACAATACTGTGCAATTGACGATTTCAAAAATATGAAATTTCTAAAATTTTGAAGAAAAAAATGAACCCCCCAAAAAAATAGGAAAAAAATCCCTTCAAACTCAATCCAAGCCTTTCCTTCATAGTATGGAACCTTGTAGTACAATTTTAGAGAGATCCATACACTTAAACACACGTTATTGTCTGGAAACTAGAAAAAATGCTTGTTTTTGGCCCCTTTTTTGCTCCTAATTCCTGAACGTTTGGGGCAATTAACCCCAAACTCAATCCCAGCCTTCCTTTTGTGATATGGAACCTTGTGGTACAATTTCAGAGAGATCCATACACTTACTCACAAATTATTGTCCGGAAACTAAATAATGCTTGTTTTTGGCTCCTTTATGGCCCCTAATTCCCAAACTGTTGGTGCCATCACCCCCAAAATCAATCCCAACCTTCCTTTTGTAATACTGAACTTTTTGGTAAGAATTCAAAGAGATCCATTAACTTAAACTAAAGTTATTGTCCGGAAACCAAATGTGTGTTTGGACGACAACGACATCATAGCATTATACGACGCAAAATTTTTTTTACGCAAATTTTTTTTTGCGGTCATATAAAAAGTACATAAAAATCAACATTTAAGTGATAAATCTATAAGAAATCACATTATAGATGTGATAGATAACAATAGATTTTCACTTTCATTACATCTTATCTTCTGTCAGTTATTCCCGATCTCCTTCAGTTTTCAAAACACAATATCAGGCATTTTTTGCATTTCAATCCTTTCTATACATTATAGTTTTCAAGTTTATAAGCAAAAAAATGCTCAATTCTTAAAAAAAACATTGCAGGGCAAATAAAAAGTCATCTGTTTATTCTGTTAACTACTGTAGAAATGGAGAGTTGATAGATCTTCACATTCTGAACTTTTAACTCGTTAGATTTTCTGTTTGTAATTTGTTTTCAAGATATTAAGCAATTACTACAATTACCATTATGTTAAATGTTAAACCATGGGGCCATGTTGATTGATGGGCTGAAATATAATATACAATCAATAATTTAAACAACCTAAAAATCATATTGTCAAGTTTTACTAAAATTGGTTCAGTATTTTCTGATAGAATCTTAAAAAAAAAGTTTACAGATGATAGATAAGGAAAACCAATGATAAACATCCCAAGACACTGAGAGATCCTAGAATATGCTGTGTTCATTCGTGGATAATCAAACTTTACCTTCTCTGTTGTGGTTTTAGATAAGTCTTTGTATAGTAGTTTTCTAATGTATTCATGCATGGGAGGTCTAACTTTTCTGGCCATCTGTTGAACCTCTGGTGGATTACTATAGTAAAATGCATTCTCTATCATAGTAGTGTAGCGATTTTCTAAATGTAATGCTGACTTTTTACGCATCATCACATCCTGAAATAATTTAATCAATCAATAAATCATTATTATTCTAAATTAAACATCTCCTTAACTTTAACCTCTAAATGGCTAATTAAATTTTTTGCTGTCTCATTGACATATATACCCCACAGCGTATGTATTTCTATTACTATAGTGTAGTGACTATATAAATATCAATTAGATCTTTTCACTAATCACAATTTTTTTCTAACTTAAAAAAAAAACATTTGGGCTTTTATTATTAAATAAATCTATTTAAAAGTTCAAATTTAAAAGACAACAAATTTTAATACTACTATATTCTATCCTTATGTTTACACTATACTGCAATCAACTTATTGGATATAGTTTTATGAGGTTTATGAATGAAACTAGAATATATCTTGACAACTGAATTTCAAATAATTAGCTGACACAAATATCATTCTCACTCCACACAGTGGTAGAATCTTCAAACATTATTGATTCACTATAGCATTTTATTTATACATTGTTCATTTTAAAAACTATTATATCTGAAGGCAATAAATAGGTTGAAAATTATTTGAAGACTTACTTTATAGGATGCTGTCTCAGGGACATTTACCCACTATATTTTTTTATTAATTCTTACTAAATATATTTTGGTTCTGTGATGAGAATCTTGTGATCTGTATAAAAATCTTCCACAATTATCCAACAAAGCACAAGCCATTTCTATATTGTGATGGAAAAAGTCAAACATCAACATCTACAAAATAAAAATTATATTTTATATACATGTATTATCTACATTATAAACTATGATGATATATGCTCCACAGAAAATTAAGACCATAAGGCATCTACAATTATTGTACATTTGACTTCTAAAAATTTGAAGAAAAAAAATGTAACAAGAAATGAGTCAGAATCTTGGCCATCTAGTATGAATGAAATTGATGTATTCTAACGTATGGCACTTTCAGGCTTGTATGACCTGCAACAGTCCATGCCTATATTCAAATCTATAAATAATCATATGTCCTGAACAGCAAAAGAGAAAATAGTAAATATCAAACTTGACCTCCATTTTGTCATCAGTAACAAAATATTAAAATTTGAAAAGCATTGATTGAACCATTCATCAATTATTTGCACAGAAACTGTTGACAGCCACCCTCCAAACTTCAATATTTTAATAACCAGATATTTCATTCTGAAAACCGGGTTTATATAAACTATTTTAGAGATAACTGTATTGTATTTGAAGCTTTGCAGACATCCATCGTTAGTTTTACTGTTGCAAATACCCGTTTATCTGTCTCCACGTAATCTCTATTCTAATGCAAAATAAACAAATCATTCAATTTTAGTCATTATTTCTGTGTAAAATTTTCATTAAAGGAAAATTCCAGCGAAATGATGTTATCTTCTTTGGCGCCTAAACTAGGTGACGTCATAGGTGTGCTTCCGGCATCAAACGTAAACACCAGGCGTTTTCTGGGTTCTTGTCCGCTTCAAAATGTAATAAAATTTGATGAAAAGAAGATTTGTAGGTCCAAATGTGAGTTTTTTGGCTTATTATTAGAGAAATTACATGTCAATATATTCCGGAATTCAAAATGTCGGCTTCCTTAGTTACAGACAGGGAGATTGAGAATTTTACGCTTGTCGTCATCCAATCAGAGCCATTGATACAAACTAATTGCATGAGAATTGAACATTACTTATATTTACCTTTATGCAATGTAAAGCTTCAGATTTTGGAAATAGGTTAAACTTTACTAACTCTCCTGTTAATGAAAAAAATATATATATAACCATACTATTTCAATTAATCACAACAGGTTCACCTGAACAAATGTCAGTTATGAAATGAAAGTTCAATAGCACAACATTGTTAAGCTAAATAGTAACTCAACCTATAAATGTCAACCTCCTGAACAGCTCTTACATTACATTGCATCAGTAATCTACAAATACAAAAGATTTGCTCTTACCCCCCCCCAAAAAAAATGTGACCACATTTGGTGTGAATTAATACCATTACCAATAATTATGTAGTTATACTATTCTAAGTATAAGATTGAAGAATATCACATAGATTATGTTGTTTTCAAATCACTTTACTGGATAAAAGTTGACCAGGAAAACTAAGTGCAAATTTCTTAAAAGCCAATGTTGCATATATATATTAGGTAAATGAAGGCTGTACGGTGATCTATAGTTGTTAACTTCTATGTCATTTGGTCTCTGGTGGAGAATTGTCTCATTGGCAATCATACCACACCTTCTTATTTCATAAGCATTATATTCAAGAGTTGTCGGATTTCTGTAGGAAGTCACCAGACTCACTAAGATATTTCACTAAATAAAGCAACAAGACTACATGTATAGGGTTTAATTTCAATGAACTGAAATTGGATTTAATATTCAATCATTTCAATATTGCATTATGAGGAGACAAAACAATTTCTTGGGAGATTTGTGATAGTAAATGCTAAATGTCCCATTTTCACCAGTTTGGTATTTGATGATGTTGAGATAACAGAATCCAGTCACAGAACTGAAGATTTGACCGTTTTGTTGTGCAGTAAATAAAACAGAAGACAAATATTTGTATTTTGTCATAGAAGTAGGTTCACGAAGGGCTAAAGTTAGCCCTAAGTTATCAAGTTAATCAAGTCAAAATACTAAATACTGTGGATTCATTATAGTTCGTGGGATATCAATTTTCATGGATTTCATGGGTGTAGGTGAACCACGAATTTAAATGTTCAATGGAATACAAAATTTATATAGGCTTACACACGAAAAAATGGGTACCCACAAAAATAAATGAATCCACAGTATCTCACATGGAAATAGTTATGGTATTACTATTAATACAAAATAACTTCTATTTGGCACCTCATAATATAAATGATTAAAAAATAAAGTTATAATCACTTAATTATGCATTTTTTGTGTTGTAATGTCAGTTTTGGTTCAATTTTCTCATAAAACATATCAGTTTAAGCATAATTTACTTTGATTGCATCCCCAATTCAGAAAGTGTTTGTGTCTATGGATTCAATTTTAAATTTGGCACCTTTTGATTACAGATTAATTAGGGTCATAGGTTGCAGCCAAGGTTTTCCTAAAGCTTTAAGGTCTGAAAAATTTCTCAAAATCGTTGTATTTTAACAAAATCTTCACAATTTTCTGACTTTTCCCCATTTCCATTCTCAATTTTATTTTGGAGCCTATAATTTACTATTATGAAGAGATTTGATTTACCTAAAAAAAGGCTTTTGAAATAGATCTATTTGAGAACCAAATTGTGGCCTTTTTGATATTTAATGATAAAGTTGAAATTCAAAGCCATGTTTTGCAAAAATTGAACCTTGCCCTTTGTACAAACTGCATTTGAAATTCTATCTGAGGCCTAGTTTGATTTTTTTTTTTTTTAAATATCTATTAAAAGGCATGTAATAAAAAAAACCATTGGAAAGTAATTGTGTAAAAATTACATCTTCAATTTTCTGTATAATGATGTCCACTAGAACTGGCAAGCCATAAACATAATCAAAGCCAATCAAAGCTTTTAAGAATCTACTAATGTACTGTCAACACAGATGCTAATCATCGTTGGCTTCATAAATCCATTATATCAGTTTTACATTAATCAATAACATTATTATAACTTTATCTTATATTGAATGTCATCATGTAAGAGTTCCCTGTTAAGATATCATTGCTAAAATGATAAGAGAAAGCTATATATTAATTACTATTTAAGGAGATGTTATATTAAGAAGCTAAAGGAAAAATGTTTATGGGTCCAATGAATTAAAAATTACACCGGATGATATTCTAGGAAACATCATTATCAATGCTGAAATTATGTCTTTACATACAACAAATTGGCCATTAAATGCAAAGTCATCGGAAGTCTTTTGGTTTCTTCAAAATCATACATCCAAAAGCCATTTAAATCTATATCTGATTTTTATCCTGACATCAGAACTGCTTTGTGAAAATCTCAGACACTGATCAATTAAGCATACATATATGTTATTAACAGAGAATATATATATCATTCATTTATCTCGACTGAATTACAGAATATATATAGTGTTGTCTGAGCGAATATCATTTTTAATGAGCATAAGAATATGCCTGTAACAGATGACATCAGTGGGATTTCAAAAATAACAACTGTCACCAACATGAATTCTTCAAACACTGAACTGGAGACCAATGTTGGAGCAGGATATACAATCATATTAGTATTAACTTCATTCATTATCCTAACACTGAATGTACCAATTGTTGTACTACTGGTAGTTGGTCCGTTTCTTGGAAAGTCTATTCGAAACATACACATACTAAGCTTGAGTATATCAGACATGCTGGTCGGAATCAATGTTATACCTATATCTATCATTCTCAAGTCCATCGTACAAGGAAAACCACCATCTTACCAAGAATGTTGGTCTAGGATGTGCCTTTACCTTACATGTTTAATAGCATCATTTTTTCATGTACTATTCATTTGCTTAGACAGATGTGGAACTATATTACGTAAAAGTTTATCTTCTAAACGAAACACCCGACTCAGATTCTGTGCTATGGTTCTACTTTCCTGGATCTGCGCAATAACATGTATTGTTGTTCCGTTCTCTGTCCTGAAAAATGACAGGGAGATTCCGTATTGCTCCATATCTACTGTTTTTAATCCTGAACAAGGAGCCATAGTTTTACAAGTATGGTCCATCCTTTTTCTTAATGGTTTTATTTTAGCATTTGCAGCCTGTGTGTGGATGGCAACCAAAATAATATCTGTAGGAGGTAAAGCTGTTCATCCACCGGACAACACTACTGAAGGTACACAGACAACTTCAAACATTCATGTCATTCAAGTAGCACCAATGAATGAAAACAATGGAGAAGAAAGGGGGTCAAATACAACCCAGAAAAGTACTAGCACCACTAGTAATCCAAGACAGATAAAAATATCTCGATCACAAAAAAGCGCCATAAAAACAATTTCCTTACTGGCATTAAGTATGATGGTATGCTTGGTACCAATGAATATAATGATCTTAGTGGAGGGATTTTATGGATTCTCCATCTTTTCTTCAAACCAAAGACATATTATTATTTATATTGCTAGTGTGAATTCTGCAGTCAATCCCATCATCTATGCATTCAGAATTCATGAAGTTAGACAAACCATAAGAATACTCAAACAGAAGATGAGCTGTTGTCATATTTATTGTATTTATCAGGATTAACAATAATAATCCACTGGGAAAATTCAGCAGGAGATATCATATTGACTCAATCTTCATGGGAGAAATTCTACAAAAGTGATAATTCATACTTATTTTTCATGGGAGAAATTCTGTAAAAGTGATTACTTACTTATTCTTCATGGGAGAAATTCTATAGGAGTGATTATATTCTTCATGGGAAAATTCTGTAGGAGTGATTACTCACACTTATTCTTCATGGAAGAAATTATGTAGGAGTGATTACTCACTTATTCTTCATGGGAGAAATTCTGTAGGAGTGATTACTCACACTTATTCTTCATGGGAGAAATTCTGTAGAAGTGATTACTCATACTTATTCTTCATGGGAGAAATTCTGTAAAAGTGATTACTCACACTTATTCTTCATGGGAGAAATTCTGTAGGAGTGATTATATTCTTCATGGGAGAAATTCTGTAGAAGTGATTACTCACACTTATTCTTCATGGGAGAAATTCTGTAGGAGTGATAACTTACTTATTCTTCATGGGAAGAATTCTATAGAAGTGATTACTCACTTATTCTTCATGGTAGGAACTCTATATGAGTGATTACTCACTTATCCTTCATATCAGAAATACCATAGGAGTGATAACTTATTAATTCTTCATGGGAAAAAAAAATTCTGCGCGAGTGATTACTCACTCAAATGCCTAGTTGGGACAATTTTATGGAAGTTATTACATAGTCAAAATTTAGCATAAGTTATAACTTCTGGTGAATTCTGAAACTACTGAATGCATTTATTATTCCAATTTCTGAACAATGGACAAACATGAGAGATTAACTGTTACAATTTCAGGAAATGCTACATACAAATAATGGTATCAAAATTCAAAATGTGAATTTTATTTTTGTGAACCCCTTCTAATAATAAAAACATAGCAAAATTTTCTGAAACTACAGTAATTAAATGCCCTTTTGGGGAAATTCTATGGAAGTTATCATTTACTCTAATGCTCCCGGAAGAATTCTGGGGAAATTGTTATTTACTACAATGGTTTAACTACCAGGTGTCAAAATACAATGAACAAACAAACCATTTTGAAAAATCATCTGGTAGTTATAACTTAATTAACACAACTATTGAAGTGAGAAACTCTGCTTAGTTCATAACTCACTAACATACTGAAAACAGTTTTAAAGTTTATCCATTTGAGTAATTTTGTTTGAAATTTTGTGTGGTAAATTATATTTTTTCTTACTCAACAATGTATCATAGCATGTCTGCAAAATAGAAATTTAGAGAAAGTGTTTATTTATCAACTGTAGTGTAAACATTCTTGTTGTTGAACCTTTTTAGTATCATGCTAAAATGTGTATTAATTTCAAAACAAATTCAAATAAAATCAATTATATACATAATATGTCTCATTCACATTTCTATTTAAGTTGTCTCCTTTTATTGTTGGCACTTTTGAACAGTTTACAAACTATTATAAGCAATGTTTGTTATTTCGTTATCCTCTTTAAAGACACTACAGATTTAGATAAA